CGCCTGGTGACACATACTTCATGGAATCCAACGCATCCCTGGCTGAGAGGTACGATATGTTGTGTACTGATGTGGCTATTTCTGCTCCTACTGAGCCTACTCCTGTTCCGTGCAGAGTGTTCAATTATTCTCAGAATCCTATCACGCTTCCCTCCGGTTCACGCCTTGGAAAGCTGCTGCCTTGCACTGTTGTCGACCACACACCGCCCGCGCCGCTCCCGTGTGCTGCATCCAACAGTCCTCCTGAGCCTGAGCAATCGCAACCGAATCATCCCTTCAAATTGGACCACTTACCTTCGCCGGAGAGATCATCTATCACGGACCTTCTGGTTGACTTCCAGGACTGCGTCTCGACTGGTCCATTCGATACGGGTAAGACTGATGTTATTACACACAGTGTGCACACTGGCGATTGCCCACCCATCCGAATGGCACCCCGTAGACTCCCTATCCATCAGAGTGAGGAAGTTCATCAACACATACAGGGTTTGCTAGAGCATGAAGTCATTGAGCCATCCCATAGTCCTTGGTCGGCCCCCATTGTTGTCGTCCGTAAACCAGATGGGTCAATCCGCCTGTGTGTTGATTACCGCCGTCTCAATAATGCTACCACCAAGGATGCCTTTCCTATGCCCAGGGTAGATGATGCAATTAATACCATGAAGGGTGCTCGATACTTTACCACGCTCGACTTAGCTTCAGGGTATTGGCAAGTACAGTTGGATGGGGACGCCCAAGAAAAGTCGGCCTTCACCACCCCGTTCGGCTTGTACCAGTGGAAATGCATGCCGTTTGGTCTCTGCAATGCTCCGGCCACATTCCAACGTTTGATGAATAATGTACTGCGTGATCATCTTCAAAAATGCTGCTTGGTGTACCTGGATGACATTATCATCTTCTCTAGAACACTGAAGGAACACCTAGTCCATCTCCGGGCTGTCCTTGATTGCCTCCGTTCTGCCCATCTCAAGGTCAAACCCAGTAAGTGCTCTATTGCTCAATCATCTGTTCGCTACCTAGGCCATGTGTTCACGCATGCTGGTGTTCACCCTGATGTTTCCAAGATAGATGCTGTGGCCAAATGGCAACCACCTACTACAATTACTGAAGTCCGCCAATTTCTCGGCTTTGTTGCCTACTATCGTAGATTTATACGCGACTTCTCCGTCATTGCTACCCCACTCTATGCCCTTACCCGCAAACACAGCTCTTTCTCCTGGCCATCAGACGCTGAACGTGCATTTCATCATCTCCGACAACAGCTGATCTCTGCGCCAATACTCGCCTACCCAGATCCAACTCAACCGTTCATTCTCGATACAGATGCAAGTGATACTGCCATCGGTGCGGTTCTATCCCAGGTCAGCACCGACGATGGTCAGGAGCACCCAGTTGCATATGGAAGCAAGACTCTGTCTTCTAGCCAGCGGAACTACACTACCACGAAACGTGAGCTTCTTGCGATTGTTGAATTTGCTGGTCATTTCAAGCATTACCTGCTCGGCCAGAAATTTATTCTCCGCACTGATCACAAACCTCTCGTATGGCTCTCCTCATTCAAAACCCCGGAAGGCATTGTCGCCCGCTGGATTGAAAAACTATCTCCATTCCACTACGAGATCAAACATCGCCCTGGTACACAACACGCTAACGCTGATGGTCTCTCCAGAGTGAATGTTGGTACATGTGAGTCATCCTCGTCTGCTGCTGTGCCTGCTCGTGATCCTTGTGCTGCTTCGCCTGCTGCTGAGAGTGCATGCGGTGTCTTACTGTCCTCAGGTGCTGTCGTCCAAGATTCTCCTCGTCCGGCAGAAGTTGTCTGGTTGCCGTCACACACACCTGGATCCATTCAGCAAGCGCAGCTAAACGATGCTGACATCTCGCCTGTTCACGCATGGATCACCGACAAGAACCTGCCTGCTCGCGGTGCACAGCCTCTCATGCTCGCTAGCCAGCTGACCCTCCGACTCTATGAGCAACGTCAACGGCTCACTATCCGAGATGGTGTTCTCTATCGTACCCGCCCCAGCCAGGACCCAGCTATGCCTGACTCACATCAACTAGTTGTCCCACAAGACATGCGTAAGTCGATCCTGACTGAGCTTCACAATGCCCCTGGCGCTGATCACCTTGGTGTTACCCGTACCCTAGATAAGGCACGCTCTAGATTCTACTGGCCTGGTATGTCCACTGACATTGAACTCTGGATCAAGTCATGTACCGTTTGTCAGACCCGAAAGCAACCTAATCCAAAGCCAAAAGCTCCTCTGCAAACTCAACTGTCGTCACTCCCCTTCCAGCGAATTGCACTAGATATTATGGGTCCTCTTCCAATCACCGACCGCAACAACCGTTATGTATTAGTCATTGCTGATTACTTCACGAAATGGGTCGAAGTATACGCCATGCCCAATATGCTAGCCACGACTGTCGCCCGCTTCCTGTTTGACGGGTGGATTTGCCGCTATGGAGCGCCATGCACTATTCACTCCGACCAAGGACCCCAGTTTGAGTCACGCATCTTTACCCAGCTCTGCGCCCTGTACAGCATCACAAAGACTAGGACCACCCCGTATCACCCGCAGAGCGATGGCATGGTAGAGCGCTTTAACCGAACACTCCAAGCAATGATAGCATCTACAACCACCAATCACAGGGACTGGGATCTTCATCTCCAGCATGCTGCGCTGGCGTATCGCACTAGTCTCCACAGTTCCACTGGCTTTACTCCATACCGATTGCTGTTTGGTCAAGAAGCAACGTTACCTCTTGATATCATGTACGACTGCCCCCGACCCGCTCCAAATAACTCGTATCCAGTGTTTGTGCAGACCCACCGTGTATCCGTCTTGTCAGCATACGAGCGTGCACGCCGATGTGGCCTTGTCAGCCACCGACGACAGCGGAAAGGGTATGATGGGACCAGTAGACCACCCCCGAAATTTGAAGTCGACCAACAAGTACTCCTGTTCTCCCCAGTTGTCCCTCCTGACCACGCTGCGAAGCTTCATCACTACTGGACCGGCCCCTACACTGTCCAACGCCTGATCGATGATGTAACAGTACGCGTCCGCCGGAATTCTGACCGAGTCTGCCAAGTAGTCCACATTGACAGATTGAAACCGTTCTTCCAAATTCACCAACCTCCGCCTGCCACTCCACCTACCTATGATGCTCACGTCCAGCAGAGTATCCAGCAGCCGCCCCAACCGCCTCCTCCGCCAGCCGTTCCAGCCCCAGTTCACCAATACCAGCTCCGCAACAGGAACAACATTCGACCTCCAGATTACTTCTGAACTATGACTTACCATTGCATTATTGTATTCATTTTCTGAGCTGTCAAATCACGAGGGCGTGATTTAGTGTAGGAAGGGAGGGTGTAGTATCCCTGCTTTACAGTTAACGCATGACTAGTACTTTGCATGACTCTTATAATTACTCTTGTTACTACTTTCGGACAAGTCCTACATCATGTACCTCACATATGATTTGATTACATCAGGAGTACCGCACTTCTAGAAGATCATAGATCTTCCATGCATGCTGCTGTCATCACTTCTAGTATCACTTCCTTTTAGTTACTAGTTGGTACAGTCATGACTCATGTACACATGTATGTCATGTTGTTCTGGACTATTCCAGACTTTCCACGTCATATGCCCGATGAGTAATGTTGCTGACTAAATTGCATAATATAGATATCTCATCTTCTAGAACACCTCGCTTAGTCATTATGTTAATGTTACGCAATGCTCACTTCGTCTACGTGTATAGCAATGATGATCTAGGTTTACTTCTCCACTATTCTAGAACTTGTACTAGAAGGATGATTTCGTAATCACTGCAATGGCTTACTAACCTTACTTTCCTACCGCCGCCTGCTTTGCTATACATACTTTGCTTGCCTATAAAAGCTGCTGTCTTTTCTGCCACCATCAGATTAGCTCAGATTAGAGCTGAGCTGAGAGAGAGAGAGCAAGTTCACTTTCACTTTGATATAAGATAACCTCCAGGCCGTGCCGGAGTAAGTTCTGATACGTTAGTTGACTGACTGTGGGTAGTAGCCTCCTAGCCTCGCCGACGCACGTTACACTAGGGTATGGCCGTGTGTGTATGCGTGGTTTCTCAATCCTCTATGTACAGCGTGAATACATAGTGGAACCGAGCATAATTCAGCATAATTCAGCATGTTGTTGGCATAATTCACGGTGGCATAATCAAAAGCATAATTTGACGATTGGCCGAGCATAGTCCGCCAATGGCTAAATGTCAGCAGGTAGAGAGTTCCAACGATCTGAGCCTAGAAAACTAAGATCTACGATAAACTGGCTCTCATTTGCCACCACCCATGTTTCGATACAGCCATCCGGAGCAGAGAAACCGCCAGAAGAAAAGCAAATTTTACACATTTCATTCCATTTCCATTCATTTGTTAAAAAATGCCAAAAAATTTAATGTTAAAAAAAGCCAAATCACTTCGTACGAGTGGCTTTGAATAGTATGCGTGTGATCAAGTGTTTGTTCACCTACATGTATATTTTTCCCTTTTTTCGTTTTTGGTTTTGTTTTCTTTCTCTTTTTCTCCCCTTTACTTTAGCCTTTAGTAACTTCTCTTGTGGCCGTGTGGTATCGATCATGTCTGGGTGTGGCCCAAGCGAAGGCTAGGCTAACGCCGGCTATTAGCTACATGTAGATCCAGCTACTTATGCGCTATTACGATAGCTCTCTCGCGCGCGCGAGCTCGCTCTACTCTGTAGTTTTTTTTGCAGCTCTGGCATAATGCATGTGGCGCGGCATGCATGCAGTGCATATGCATGTACATATATGTGGCGCGGCATGCATGCACACCGCATGCGCGCGTATGTCGTACATACGACAATCTCGCGTGGGTCCGGGTCCTCAAGTCACTGTACATGTATTCTGTACATGCACAAACGTGACAACAGCCAGCTTTCCCGCGGCATGCTGTTCCACAAAACTCGCGACCCGAAACAGATCCCGTGCGTGTATTCTGGTGAAGACTGTACACATCTCCATTCCACATGTTCCAACTAGCTTTGCAGTTTGCTTCTTGTTCTTGCTGCAACCTTGTTTCAACATCCATCCCTCAGCTATCCCCTTTGTCATGTTTATATTCTAGGTCCCTTGTCAAGGGTTTGGGGTGTAGCATTTCTTTTTGTAATCGTCTATACATAAGTAGGTAACTTGGTCCAGCTCAGTATTTTCTTCGATTTATCGAATTGTGCAACTCAGTCTTTGCCGTGGGGCAAGCATTAGAGAGACACTGCCTGTCCAACTACCTAGTGTTGCTGTCAGAGTTCAATATTGTTTTCGGCAGAGCTGTTTCTTCTCAGATGGAGACACTTCTAGTAGTACTTTGTAATCTCAGTGGCGTGCGATAATGGAGCAAGAGATAGTATTGGCTCGAGGTGAACAGTGGGATGCGAAGTTCGACACCCTGGGCTTGGACATTTTATCAGGTAGGTGTTGGTTGGTTTTTATTATGAATACACGGATAAGTTATTACCTGTGTTCATTGAATCCTCACCGCTACCGTCTAACTTTCTTTTCCATGCTGTAGTTCTGGAGAACTCCTTAGTCACCGACAAGGATGAATTCAGCTTTTCGGGGCTTCCTTGTGGAGAGAATGGCACGGGTAAGTCGGTGATCGAAAGGCCATTCATTCCGCGTTGTCAATTTCTTGGATTTGATTTCACATGTACAGACTACAGTACTCGTACACCCGCATGCACTGCAAATACTGAAATAGTGATAATTTTTATTTTTATAATGAATGGCGGTCGATGGTCGTAATGAATACTAGTAAGTAGTATGGGAAAAAAAGAGTTTGGATTCACTAGTACTAGTATGGGTAGTGGTGCCACTGGATAAAAACCGAGCTAGCTCTTGGGTGCTTGTTTTGGCATCCAACTGCGGCGGCGAAGAAAGATATCGGCACGACTTCGAAAATGATAACCAGTCAATCTGAGCAAGTAACCAGAATCTGATAGCATTGTCTAGTCTAGTACACAACGTTGCGCAATAAAGCGCTAGCACTATGGACCCTTACTTTGCCAAAACCTACATGTATGTAATTTGCGTCTGCCTTTGGCAAGGCTCGGGGATATGGCTGTAGCTGGGCTACATTTTTTTCGCGTACCCTTACTTCAGAATACTTGTTGACGTAGCGCCGCAGAAGCGTGCGGTCGGCACATTGAGCTGAACGTCAACGTCAAAAGCTAAATACTAGTAATCTGAAGGGACAATTCTTTACGGTCACCAGCAGGACTTGAACCGGGGACCTTCGTTAACACTAGTATGCCCGTGATGCCCGTCTGCAAGCTATGGTGCAGCTGTCATCCCAGTAGAGACTGCTCATGTAATGCATTTCTTTCTTTTTTTCAATCTTTGTCCAACTTTCGCTTTAATTTGGAGACATTCTTTCATTGGATGTTGTGCTTTCAAGACCATTTTGGCTTACCCCATAGGCCTTTTTCATTGGTAGTTTTGTATTTTGTCTGCTACAATAAGCCGATTGTGCAATGTCATTGTACGTTGAACACGCCACGCCGTCTGGGTGTGGTTGTGTAGGGCGCATTGCTGATCCCAACATAATTGGATGCGTTGCTCTTAACGCTTCTATACTGGCAAGTCAAATTTGTAAGAAAAATGACAGGTGTGCCTTGATTGGAGATTTTTGCCATTAATTTTTTTAACGATGCATGTAGCGCCCTTTTTTGGAGACCCCTGCCTTTATAAAGGGTATGTGTTAGTCATGATAGTACACACTTGACCCGTATATAGAAAACAACCCAGTTTGGTCATCCATATTTAGTAGGATTTGGTGATGGCAAGCTGATCACAAAATCCTTATACGGACGATATGTATGGTGCCACATGGCTGCTTCCAATTTTTTGGGTGCTTTTGTTTTGGTTACTTCATAGAGTCCACTATTTGATAGCAGTACGAGGCATGTGTACTTTGAAATTTTCCGTGAAAGGTTGCCCGAGAAACGAAATTTGTACAAACTAAAAAAGAGCCCTGCAACTAAAATCCGTGTGGAATGCAGCGAAAGTGAGTCGCTGTGGTGTACAGTCAGACCTCGCTTAACCGGTCCTCTTTTATCCGGATCCCTCGCCATCCGGAAGAAAATCACTGGTTACCGATGTGCAGCATATGTTACACATACAACATAACCGGACCTCGTGATCCGCATACCGGTGCATGATTTTGTGTACAAACTGGTTGAAATGTGTACGAAAAGCTTCGTCGTATCCGGTTGCACGTGGCTTGCAGAAGCTAGAATCCGGGAGGTCCTTGACCTGCTGGATGCATGTGGATAGCACTCAGTTGCATGCACTTGCCATCTTTCTCGCTTGTTTTACGTATTGTGCACGCTAGTTGTACTGCATGGGACCCGTATACATGTATGTACAATGCCACTCCTTTTGATATGCTCCATGCATATACAGTATGTGTGTTCAGTTATCTGGTTCCCTCGCCTATCCGAATAATTTTGTGGAAAACGGATGTGTGCGGTTAAAGGGGAAGTATACCCTAAAATCAAATTTCACCAGTTGTAGTCTTCGGGGTGCTGAGTCGAATGGTCTTGGTCCGAGGAAGCTGAGACGCTCCCTTCCTCCTTTATTCCCAATCGAACTCGCGCACTTCCACCGAAACTGGGTGACTGCGCCCTACTAGATGGGGATTTGTATGCAAAATGTCACTAAAAGCGCCATTTCGTTCTTATAAAAGCACGGATGACCGCCATTGGCCCATATGTTGTAGTCTTTTGGACGCTGAGTCGACTGGTTTTGGTCCGAAAAGGCTGCGATGCAGCGTTCCTCCTTTATTCCCAATCGAACATGGTTGAAGAAGCGGTCACGTGCTCCTGCGTACACCAGTCACCTGGTCACCGTGCCTGCAGGGTACAACTTACTAGCCTGTTTGACCTTTTTTGGGTGCAGTCCTGTCACTCGAGTTGAACTCGAGTTGAACCTTGGTGTGAAAGTTGTCGCCTGCTGGCGCGGTGACCAGGTGATTTGGGCACCCAGGAGCACGTGACCGCTTGTTCAACCATGTTCGATTGGGAATAAAGGAGGAACGCTGCATCGCAGCCTTTTCGGACCAAAACCAGTCGACTCAGCGTCCAAAAGACTACAACATATGGGCCAATCGCGGTCATCCGTGCTTTTATAAGAACGAAATGGCGCTTTTAGTGACATTTTGCATACAAAATCCCCATCTAGTAGGGCGCAGTCACCCAGTTTCGGTGGAAGTGCGCGAGTTCGATTGGGATTCAAGTAGGAAGGGAGCGTCGCAGCTTCTTCGGACCAAGACCATTCGACTCAGCACCCAGAAGACTACAACTGGTGAAAATTTGATTTTAGGGTATACTTCCCCTTTAAGCGAGGTCTGACTGTACACAGAAAACTTTGCCGTGGCCTCTTTCTCCGGGAGTTGCATACTCTGGTTTATGTACCTTTGGTGACACTAGTACTGCGAGTGCATGGATACCGGTATGGCGGAATTTATGAAATTTGCATTACTAAGAACAGTAATTTTCCCTGTTTAATTGATCCACAGTAATGTACTTCGAAGTAGTCTGCAGAAGAAGAAAAAATAGGCCCAATATTCCCTCTGCCCTCTGTGAGCAGTTGTATGTATAAAATGCCTGAAAGCAGACCATGGACTTATTCTTGTCAAACTTGTCATGCCAGTTTGCCCAGTCATCCACACGGTTTTTGTTGGAAATTCTGCCCACTTTCCATTGTACATGTATCGGGTAGATTTTTGGAGACAACAGGGCCTGGGGCATAAACTTCAAAATCCAGGAGTTACATGTGCCAAGCAAGCATTAGTGATGTCTGTCATCTCCTCTTGTCCTTTCTTCTTCTTCTTCTTCTTCTTCTTCTTCTTCTTCTTCTTCTTCTTCTTCTTCTTCTTCTTCTTCTTCTTCTTCTTCTTCTTCTTCTTCTTCTTCTTCTTCTTCTTCTTCTTCTTCTTCTTCTTCTTCTTCTTCTTCTTCTTCTTCTTCTTCTTCTTCTTCTTCTTCTTCTTCTTCTTCTTCTTCTTCTTTTTTTTTTTTTTCTTAAAATTTAGGGACAATATACCTATCCCAACCAGCGGACCAAAGCCTGCCTCTAGTGGAGTGCCATGGCTGCAAACAGGTTGTGCTTGCACCGCTATACAAAGATCACATTGGTAGGTTGATCTCTTTTCTCCTGTTGTTGAATTTAGTCATATGTCGGTTATGTTGTTTTTGCTCACTCTTGTCTGTTGTGTGTGTGTGTGTATGTGTGGGGCGAGGGGTATGTGTGTACATGTTGTTGTTGGTGGTGGCGGTGTGTGTGTGTGTGTGTGTGTGTGTGTGTGTGTGTGTGTGTGTGTGTGTGCACAGAGGAGGGGAGGGGGCACAGAGTACATCTTGTTCCATTTGCAATAAGGCCACCTAGAATTAATTCGTTGTTTCGGGTCACTTCGCTCATCCGTTCCAGGGTCGGTGGCTCGGGGTTATTTATTTATTTATTTTTGATTACTGCCATGTGCATACATTATGTACATAATGTGACAATGTAGATTGTGCATATCGAAAATCCAAGCTTTTGTCCATCAGTCGATGGAAAGTCGATCAAATCTGACTGTATACGACCCAGCGCAGCCATTGTCCCATCAGGTCCAGGTCCACTCCAGGACCAGATCTTGGCCTCGCTGGCAAACGAGTCTGACGAGCAGCTTTCACCAAAACCTCTCTCAATTAGCAATGAGGTGGCGGAGTTGATGCTGTTTCAGGACCGATTGCGGATCGGGGATATTAGAAGACAACGTCGTCCGCTGCTGAAAATCAATGTATATGTACACAGCCATGTTACTATAGTACATTTGCATCCACAATAAAAACAAAAGCATTTTGCGGTCTGAAGAAGGGCTGAGGCTTCCTGCAGCTTCATCTGTGAAAAGAATTCGGGTGGACACACCCATTCCCATAGCGCTGCACATCACATCCGAACCAGTTCCGTTATTTTGCGGCCTGCTGAAAAAAGACGGCCGGTCGGGTGACCCGAAACGACGAATTAATTCTGGGTGGCCTAATTATAACATTTTGATGCTCTTTTGATGCACCTGACATTGGGTTGTTTGTGTGCTGTGTGGTTCGACAGGTCGCTGCACACCTGTGAAGAACTTAGGTGTTGATCAGCCTATTCAACCAGTGCAGGGGAAGAGAAAAGCCAAGTGAGTTCGATTTCAGAGAAACAGAGAGAGAGAGAGAGAGAGAGAGAGAGAGAGTCTGTGTGTGCGCTCGCGCGCGCGCGCGCGCGCGTGTGTGTGTGTGTGTGTTAGTACGCCTGTGCCTTTCTGTTTCTGCATGTCTGTATAACTGTACATGCATATCTGTCTTTTTGTTTGTCTGTCTTCTGTATGTGCGTATGTCATGTCTAGTCGCCCCTCGGAGCAGGGTCCTCGTAAGAAGGCTAAGAAAGTTAGCTCGTCGACCGTGACTCCCCGTAGCAATGGGAACGCAGCCAAAGGTATGAGTTGTACTTGTAGCACAACACTCTCTCTCACTATTTGTGATTGTTTCACACGTTGCTTTGCCAGATTTAGCCTGTGACTTGTGTGAGTGTGGCACACTCTTCGTGTAGTGTGTATCCTCCGGGTGGGGAGAGCTAAAGTTCACTTTGTAGCGGCATGCATGGCCGTGGGATTCCAGATATGACATTGTGCGGAGGAATACTCTCTTATGAGACTTTCTTGTTTGCAGCTACAACGTCCTTCAGCTTGTCTTTCGCTGGTTCAATTTCTTCTTCGTTCTGTTTGCTGTTATTACTGTGTGTCAGAAGATGTCTACAATCCCGACAAGCATTGTGGTGTTTTACTGGCAGATAACCGACCCTGCAAACGTTCCCTTTTGTGTAAAGTAAGTATTTCCAAACATCACTGTGGGGGGGGGGAGTATTTGTGAAAAGTGGATTCATGCATGCTTGTGTTTGCATGTATCATTCAACAAGCGGTTCACGTGTGGGCACACATACACGCACACACACACACACACACACACACACACACACACACACACACACACACGCACACACACACACATACACGCACACACATACACGCACACACATCGAAGTATGAATGGAAAACTGTCAGTACACTGACTGACTGTATACCCACCTACATTCTCAATGGCAATGATAATTCCCTGTATGCTCACCCTGCAGTTGGGGTAACCGCTCACAAGCCAGTATAGATAACGTTAGAACGCTACTTTAGTGATATTATACTCAATATACACTGGTACATTGAAGTTTGATTGGAGTTACTTCAGCTTTTTTGTATATTTTCTTCAGCCACAAGAAATTCTTTCAAACGGGTTTGTGCTGCTTTTCTTTACCGTCTCTGTCTTTACCTTTGTAGCAACACAGCATATCAAAACGACGCCAAGTATCAGGTAGATCCCAAAATTTCGACCTTTTGCTCGTGAAATATCGTGCCGACAAGAAGAATGCGGCCACCAGAACGGAGAGCACGAGTTGTGCCACAACCGCACCCACCACGGCAGCTACTCCTGCTACCACTGTGTCGGCTGCAACTGCCACTGCTACTGCTACTAATACTGCTACTAGTGCTGCCACTAGTCCTGCTGCTGCTGCTACTGCTGCTACGACTACAACTAACAAGACTACGAGCACCAGCACCGCCACCAGCAGCAGCAGCAATAAGGATTGCACAGCTACCATTAGCACTGCCGCTGCTAGCACCGTTACGGACAGCAGTAGCACAAGCAACATCCGGAGCAGCAGTAGCTGCAGCAACAGCAGCACGGCAACTGACACTGCTCAGCAGACCAGGGGCAAGAGTCAGTCGGAAAGGAACTCACTGTCCCTGTCGATAAATGCGCCGGCAGCGGCAATGCATCTGGGGCAGCCCTCGCTCGACACGCCACCGTCTGGAGAAGGAAAGCCATGGTGAGAATCATTGTGTAAATCGTGCTCTTATCGAACTCCTTCCAAGAGCAATCACCCTCTGCTACACTGCATGTCATTCCTATAGGAGGTGACTTCTAAAGTGGACCATTGTTCTCTGAATTCACTATGCAGGACTTTCCTTAGTAGCGATGTCAGAGTGCCGTGCCACGTGACCTCCACGCTTGTCGCTGGATTCCCTAGCAACCAGCTGAAATGATGGCACAAAAGGTCAGTACGGCAGACTGCCAGTCGCGGCCAGAGCGTGCAGTACTTGGCACGCGGGATATTCAAATGTGACCTGAAGACGTCAGTGACAAGCTTGGTCGTGACTATTGCCACGAAAATAGAAGATGAACTTTCGTATCCGCGTTTGTGCGGGCGCGCTGCGCCTACGGAGCTGGGAGTATGGCCGCCGACAAGTTAGCGTATGTTCAGTCGCCTTTTTCATCTCTTGCGCTGCCTGATACGCGTTTGATTTTAGTTCCATCGTGTTCCCCGTCGTCCAATTTAGTTTGCTGCCAAGTTTCACCGGCGTATCACGCCGCGCACCAGACTTGTAGTATTTTTCGCGACAGGTACTCCATTGCTGGATACACCGCCATCATGAGTGTTCGTCCAGCAAAGGGACCGGCGGTGAAGATGTTTTGTCGAGTCTTGGACTCAAGGAGGAGCAGTTATTGCAGGATAATAAGCCCCTGCCTGGCATGATCGGAAACGTTTCAAATGCATTGGTGTTAGAACTGATGAAGTTCAAAGCGGACCACCACCAGGATCATAATCTACTTGTCGAACTCTTCTTGTCTTGGAGAATGGTCAAATCACAACTCATACTTCGGCTACTCTTCAACAGTCTTCTTGAATTTCTCCAACAGTTTGCAGCAACAAAAAAAAAACAGTACAGCTACGGTATGTACATTTTGTACAGTGCGCAAGATTATTCATGAGCCGCGATCCCTGTTGTCAAGACCGATTTTGTGCCGTGGTGAGATCTGGTTTGTGTACAGTGCGGCATGGTGCTTTTCGACAATGGCGGCGCTTACCCCGCGCACTCTAAACTGGAATAAGTCCACTATATTTGCTCCGATTTGCTTCAAACTTTGCCAGTATACTCTACTTGTCTTCAGGAATCGGATGGTATTACAATATTTGCCCGATTCTCAAAACAGAAATTTACCCTGACATCGCTATCCTTAGTGACCTCAAAGCACGTAAACCCCCTCCCCCCCCCCCCAAGAAAAGAAACCGTGGGGGGGGGGGGGGGGGGTGGAGCAAAGTCTGTTCATTTGGATTAGGGATATTAGCAAGTGTGCATAACCCTCAGACTGTGAAGCTCTGCATGCGGAGTCTCCGAATTCCGAAATCACATGATGTGTTCCAAATCCGTTTCAAATCCGTTTAGTCATAGTCAGAAATTTACCATTGCACTAGTTTTTTGGAGGAGATGGAGGGGTAAATCCTATAAGAACTTGGTTTGTTTTGAGGAGAATTCAAAGAATTTTGATAAAACTCCTACCTTTTTACAGACTTGCAGTTTTAAAGGTGACATTTTGTGAATATTTTTCTCTTGTGTTCTTGCAGGAATGACGTTTGCGAACCTTGTAAGTTTCCCAATACCTGTTTTGATTACATATGGCATAGAAATGAGCTGTGCGTACGTGTTTGTGTACGCGCGTGTGTGTGTGTAGAGAGAGAGGGGGGGGGGGGGGGTGCTTGTGTATGTAGATTATATTTCACTTTATAAGGGTCTGCAGTTCAACCTGGCCTGTGAGCGTAGCATTGGCCTTGTAGTGATAGTGTGTTCACCCAGACCAACGTGAGTGTGTCACGCACCCAGAGACATGTGCCACCTATTCAAGCTAGGGCTGAAAAACGATCACCGAGCATTGGATATCGATTATCTAGATTTGGTAACGACCAAGTTTACGGTTTATATGGTGACTATCTTAAAGGGGAAGTTAAGGCAAAAATTAAAATTTCACCAGTTGTAGTCTTCGGGGTGCTGAGTCGAATGGTCTTGGTCCGAGAAAGCTGAGACGCTCCCTTCCTACTTGAATCCCAATCGAACTCGCGCACTTCCACCGAAACTGGGTGACTGCGCCCTACTAGATGGGGATTTGTATGCAAAATGTCACTAAAAGCGCCATTTCGTTCTTATAAAAGCACGGATGACCGCGATTGGCCCATATGTTGTAGTCCTTTGGACGCTGAGTCGACTGGTTTTGGTCCGAAAAGGCTGCGATGCAGCGTTCCTCCTTTATTCCCAATCGAACATGGTTGAAGAAGCGGTCACGTGCTCCTGGGTGCCAAAATCACCTGGTCACCACGCCAGCAGGCGACAACTTTCACACCAAGGTTCAACTCGAGTGACAGGACTGCACCCAAAAAAGGTCAAAACAGGCTGTAAGTTGTACCCTGCAGGCACGGTGACCAGGTGACTGGTGTACGCAGGAGCACGTGACCACTTGTTCAACCATGTTCGATTGGGAATTAGGGGCGAACGCTGCATCGCAGCCTTTTCGGACCAAAACCAGTCGACTCAGCGTCCAAAAGACTACAACATATGGGCCAATCGCGGTCATCCGTGCTTTTATAAGAACGAAATGGCGCTTTTAGTGACATTTTGCATACAAATCCCCATCTCGTAGGGCGCAGTCACCCAGTTTCGGTGGAAGTGCGCGAGTTCGATTGGGACTCAAGTAGGAAGGGAGCGTCTCAGCTTCCTCGGACCACGACCATTCGACTCAGCACCCCGAAGACTACAACTGGTGAAATTTTAATTTTTGCCTTAACTTCCCCTTTAAGGTAAATTTGAAATATTTGTAGTTTCCTCTCTTTTTGTGAGAATACAATAAAGAAGCACGTCAGCGTAACGAGGCCAGTGATGCCCAACCACTTGAAATCGCAGTTCTCCATCGTATTATATATTATCATGATTCAAGTTGTGTGGCTTGCTCTGCAAGTTTTTCTCCTGTATTTTGGTGCCTGAAAAGTCTTTCCAATACTTGATAAGCAAGAACTCCTAGTGAATATTGAGGACACGTGTAACGAGTACGTGGTGAGTCATGAGCATGATGTTGTACCCTGTCCTTAATTCAAGCATGAACCTTCCTAGATAGCGTCAATCAGGGAAAAGAAAGAATGCTCAATAGAAAGCAAGTGATGGCATGCCCATGGAGAATGTCCTGATGCACACTGTTGCAGCTAACGAATCCCGAGAACTTGTGGAGAATCACCTGTTCGGAGAGAGAGTTAGAGCAGCCAACAAAACTACTCTGGCCTGTCAATGTGTGATGCGTGCACACTCAGATAGCCACGATGTGGCAGAAAGCGGATCCTGTCACCATGCTTTTTTAACGTTTTGCGTTGTATGTGGGTATGCTTGTGTACGTGTTTGTGTTTGCTTCTCTGCCCAGTTCCTTTTTCCTTCTTCGATGGCTACAAGGAGGAGTTTCCTGATTTACCCGAGTTGGATTTCGATGTACGTCCTGGCATTGGTTGTCGTGTGATTTCTTTCCGACAAGTGCAATTGACTTACAGTCCATTCAGAAAAAGATGGACTTCTAGCTTTTGGCCATAAACGGGTCAAACTTTTAGAATTTTTTTTTGCCGTCCCCTATGTAATCCTCTTCCAATTATGTTTCTGAAGTTTTTTTATCCAAAAAGTAAGCCATATCAAGAATAGGATTTCGGCCAGGTTTCACCCCAAAAGCACTGAACCGGGAAAACCATCAAAATCCAGGCCGTTTGACCCCGCCTGCAACAGTGCATTGTGCGGTTCGAACCCCAGTTCAGGTACCTTTTTGGACCCTCTTTCAAATTTCGCAAGTTCGCAGCACTGCACTGTGTACGATGAAATCACGAAAAATCGCCAAATACGGGAGCTCGCCAGAGCCAGGGCCCATCTTTTTATGAATGGACTGTAGTTGTAGTGCTTGCATGGTGCACTGTAGACTATTACTGCCGGGTGCTAAAGAACGGGGGAGGTCAGCTTCCTAGCCTATGCCGTTGTTATTTTCATGTACTACAGTCTATCCACAGTTGAGTCACTGTGTAGACTTTGGTATGCTATGCTTGTTGAAATCCTAGCCTGTTCATTCTTCGGCACTCCGTTCTTCGGCACCCGACAGGACTGTATGCTAACAACTGCCTAGTTGTCCCATGTATTCGTCTTCCAAGACAAATTTCTCCAAGAGCTAGCAGAAATAAGAACGCACCCTAATGTGTAGATGGAAGAATATGTCTACCAGGGTCTGCATTGTATTACGGTAGTCTACTGGACATTCAATTTAAACTGTCTTCCTGTTCTGTTTCTGTCTTCTTGTGGTGGTAGTTTTCACACCGGTTGACGCCAGATTCGTCTTCACCCTCCGTTTCCAGCCCTAGTATCCCCAAAGACAGTACTGCTAATACTGCAACCACTCCACCTAGTGCCGAAAGAGCCCTGGCCGATGAGCTATGTCGGATCTTTGCTGGCGGCCCCGGGTAAGCTATTTGTATTGGTTTCCTTTTTGGGGGTTGAATTTTAGTGGTTAGCTGTCAGAGAAGCAGATTTCTGCTAACGTGTGTTTGCAGCACTTTTTTGTGTTGCGTGATAACTTGATCCAGAAAGATGAATAGAAAAATCCAAAGTCAACACATGGTCGAGATGAATAGAAAAATCCGCATTGATCAGCGTCATACTTGTGAATGTAGTCACTGTGTCTTGCACTAGTGCACAGCCCAATGGTTGTACTGGGCTGCTCAATGAAATCTGATCGATTGAGTCAAGTACACGCCGTTCGCTGTGCAGCCCTAGGCCCTATGAACGCGTTGCAAGGCGCAAACTTGACTACTGTAAAAGCCATATATATAACGAAGTGCTAACTCTAACCGTTAGAGTTAACAAAGAGAAATCTGTCGTTAAAATAGAAATCGTTATACAGAAATCGATACATATACTGTCCTATTGAGCGTTGAGAATGAGTGAGCATCGTTACCTTTGGTACACGTAAACTAGTCAATTGTGGGAAATCGTTATATGAGGCATCGGCAGCAAGAACCGGGGTGCTGGCGATTTTTAAAAATGCCAATATTTGCGAAAAACCGAACCGATGTCGTTTTTTAGTCACCGCGTTCAAAGCGAAAAGACTTTTTGCACTATCGCTTTGAAAGTGCCTTCCTCTTGGTGGCTTCACTATTATTTTGTTGTCCTTGCAGTTGTAGTTTATCCGCCAAGCACTTGGGACATCCAGGTAGGCGTTTTCAGCCACCATGGAGGCGTTTGCGCTCAGGGTAGCATCTGCAAATCATGCGCTCAAAAGAGAGCGAAACAAATAATTTCTTGGCGGAACGATCCCGTCACAAATTCTTGATGGAGCAAGAGCGACTAGAATATTTGGCAGCTGGATCTCCAGAGATACTCCGCTGCCTGTGATAGTCCCCCGCAAGAAGAATCAGGTGAAAGTGAAGAGGCTTCACTCAGATGACAAGCCATCAGCGGAGGCAGCGGAGACGCTGAGTTTGAGAGCTCCGTGACACGAAGTGGCGACGCGGACAGCAGCGCTGAGAGTGCCGAACGAGATTCAGTACTCCGTGGCGACTATTCGCAGCTGGATAAGTTGGTGAGATACGTGAGACAGCCCTGAATGAACTAAACCTTACTTGATACAAGATCTTTTGTGAATAAAATTGTTGCAACGAGAGAGCTTGGAAGCTCTGGGCCCTACGCTATGCTTTTTTGCCTTGATGACCTAGACAAAAAAGCATAGGGATGTTATAAATTCTTAAAAAAAATTTTTTTTTTAAGACATAACCTGGGATTCGAACCCGCACTATCGCGCCCTGCATGCATCCCCCGGTCTTTAAAAAATTCCTTTTTTTTAAAGACATAAGGCCTCGGTCACTCTACGGCAAAAATGCTGCGTCAGCGTCAGAATCATGAGCTTTTCCATGGCAACTGACGCAAACGCGGCAAGTTTCAGCGTCAGACGCTGCTGCGTCTGACGTGGGGAAATCGGCTGCGTTGCCGCTGGTGGGAGTGACGCTTGGCGAAAAACAGTGTCTTTCAAGTAAAATTAGTTTCAACCAGGGAGTGTACGTATACGACTCCCTGGTTTCAAGACAGTTGCTCGAGTTGAGCAGTCATTCAACATTCGTCTCTTCAAGGTTTGTTTTGTTTCCTCTTTTTTTTCGAGATGAGTCAGTCCGTGGACCTACGAGGCCGATGCTGCTCTGCTCCGAACCTGGCGGAAGAGCGAGGCGTTTTCTGAGAAGAAAATAAAGTCGAGAAAGGACCAGTTGTTTGAGTGGGTTATCGGCCAACTGGAGCCTGTTGACTTGTGAGTGTTGTGTTGTCGTCAAGAGCCCCAAAAAGGACAACCAGTATGACGAAGTCAGGAGAAACACTGCTGCGATGCGGACTTTTCTTGCCTGATCCATGACACTACAACTGAAAATGGCTTCAAATTCGGAAAGAAACAACAACGATCGTGCACGCGTGGACCTTTCGTCTTCTTGTAATCAAAAATCAATGAAAAATTTGAAAACTTTGTCCGACAATTTTTTGTATAATAAGCAAAAGGCCGGTTTCCGTGGGGATCCGTGTCGTCATTGAGTTTCCCTGGTGATTTTGTGACGTAGACAAATGCGCCAGGCCGCGGCAGTCATGAGCGGAAAGAAAAACAAAACACTGTGTGACCCCGCGTCTGCGTCGAGTGCTGCGACTTGACGCTGCGTCCAGCTTCAAACTTGCCGTAGTGTGACCGAGGCCTAACCTGGGATTCGAACCCGCACTATCGCGGCCTGCATGCATCCCCCGATACACTTCGCATATGATGGTACGGTACGGTAGGGATAGATACGGGACAGGTACCGTACCATCAAACACAGCTGGCCACATACAGCTGCCCGCAATATTCAAATAGGGCTTTCAAACGCAAGATCATAACGTGAAGCAACTTGGAAGAATGGGTATGAATGCGAAGTGTATGGGGGAATGCATGTAGGGCGATAGTGCGGGTTCGAATCCCAGGATATGCCTGAAAAAATAGGAGAATTGAAAAAATTATAACATCCCTATGATTTTTTGCCGTCAGATACGGGATAGCGCCAGGCGTGACACAAACAAACAAACAAACAAATACCAAATTAAAGCTGTGTGGACCCTGGCTAGCGCCAGACGTTACTGAAGTAACGTCTTCTGCATAGCTACGGGAATAATATTATAATAATCATGCACGCTTGCAGTGCTCATGAAATTTATCACAGTATAATGCATGTATCTACGAGCTCCTGTACGTAGGATCCAGGAGAGCAAGGCATGCTTGGTGGATGTATCTGGCTTGGCCCAGCATGCATATCTAGTCTTGTAGGTTCTTCCCAGCCATGTAAAACATCAGTTGCTTGGCTTCTTTCTGTCTGACAAGTCTGCATACAACACCACACCTGCACATGACAGGGATTGAGTTTTCAAGCATAGCAGCAAGTGCAGGCCATGATGTTACTATAATTATCAACTAGAGTACTCTGTGCTTCCCTCAAGACCTATAAATATGCTAAATCAGTCTCAACCACTCCATCAGAGCCAACTGTAACTGCATTCCATTTTGCCTTTTTGCTGACCATTTTTGTCAACCTTCACCCATCATTTCGGGCGTTTTTTTACTATCTTGGTAGGTGCCCAGAGTTCCAAAATTTGGCCCATAGATCGCTCATTTAGTGGACAGTTCAAACCCATCAAAAACTCATTTTCGCCAAATATCACCTAACCCTGGTTTTTGCTGCCCATGCCTCATATATGCGCCTCGTTAGAATAATGTCTTTTACAGTAACTGGATTGGATTCCATTGAGCAGTACTGTAGCGTTGGGGCTGCACAGCACTAGCCACTACTAGTAGTTTGTCTGCATGTTGTCTGGGTTTGTTGAGCATGTCTGTAGTGAATGAATCCCGGTGGTCTAGTTCAGTGCACCTGTGCATGCACCCTGCCTGCCTTTGCCTTTGTCGGGCGAACATGACAGTGGTCTGTGATGTACAGATAGCTATGCCAGTGATTAGATCACTGCCTTCCGGTGAGCAAGCCATGCTTTTGGAGTTCTCTTTGCTACAGCCAAGCATGTTTTACCTACTGCCTGCAACTTGCAATATCATAATTGTTTGACGTATTCTTCAATTTTGTTTTTGCTTTATTCTCCTTCAATAGAACCCCGCAGGCTGCTAATGCCCCTAAATCACCATCAGTCGCATCCACGTCAAGTGCTGGACACACAGAGAGCCAGCCCGGTAAAGACTCATTTCGTTGTTACTTTGTCTTCTGGGGCTATTTCAGGTTCTTGCTTGTGCAGTTGTATGTACATGTTTTGTCATCATGAGATGTTGGTCCCTCTTCTTTTTTGTTGCCACATCTCCCACTTGCTCTGTATGTTGACTGTACTCTTCAGCTCTGTGTTGTGTTTCCTTGTACGATAGTTTAGCCCTATGACAGCCAGCCATCAGTGCTTGGATGTGTTGTAAACAACAATAACAAAAAAGTTCACAGTTCGCGTGAGACCCAGTCAGACTTAAGTTTTCCGCACTTGTAGGAACGTCACCACCCTCGTGGGTCAAGGAACTGCACAACATCCCAATCTAAGAACTAGCTGTCACTGACAACACTCCATGAAGCACCACAATTGACGGTTTTCTGAGGTGAATTACTCGCAATTTATGCTGTGATCGTGGCCGCTTGGTGGAATTTCGAGATTTTTTCACACTGATTTACACCAGTTCGCATGGGTTTTCTCTTATGATTTTCATCAGAGCATAGTGAAAAAAACAGGAACCCATTGATGAAATGATATAGCTGAAGTAGGGCGAAAATGCTTGCATTTGGGAGCGTCATCGCTGGTCCTGGAGTGGATTGTCCTGGCCATCATGGTCGACCCTACTCTCTTTCTGTTGCAAAGACCTTTCCAGATAGCCCAAAAGGTGCATTGGACACACTTTTAGGATTTGCTGAATGTGCTGTCTAGTGCCATTTCATGTTCTAATAGTGCCATGCCGTTGTGTCTCTGTGTGTGTATCTGTGTGTGCATTTGTGTGTGTATCTGTGTGTGTATCTGTGTGCATTTGTTTGTGTATGGTCATGTATGTACAATATCATGTAGCTGACCATACACAGAATGTTGATGGCCAATCAGCAAGACATCCAGCGCCACCGATGGAGCCCAGTGCGGCCTCCGTTCGTAATATTGAGTTGCTGCTCGAGCGTATTCCCCCCACGCAGCAGCAAGACTCCAGCTTTATAGCATCAGTGCAAGGCCTTCTGGGACAAAGGTCTGATAACAGTGCTGCACAGCCAGAAGGTGCTGTGCATCCAGACTTTGCAATGGAGTGCCAGCTGCAACAGCAACGGCAGCCTCAGCAGCTGCAAGACTTTCATCACCAACAGCAGCAGTTTCAAAGCCAGCAGCTACTTTCCCAGCAGCAGCAGCAACTCGCATTGCGTAACCAACAGGAACTCGCTGTGCGCAAGCACCGTCAACAGAAGCATCTAGAGCAACAGCAGCGGCAACAACTATTACAACAACAACAATTAATTTACCAACAAAATCTGTTGCAGCAGCAGCAACATCAAGCGCACCATCACCAGCAGCCTCATATGTTGGCTGACAATATCCTTCCCAGGCCGAGGGACAGTTTATTCCCTCTAACCCAGACCCAACTGCCACGTTCAGATGGCATGGCGGCGCCGCATGCCATTCTCCACCCTGCTGCTGCTGGTGCCTTGCCAGGTGTACATGCAGCTATGAGTGCTTCCAATGCACAATGTAGCCATACTGAGTCGGGAATGTCGTACCCGCTTGATGACAGCCAGTATCAACTCTTAGTAGCCGAGCATCAAAGGGACGCGGCAGCTGCTGTTGCTGTTGCTAATACAGCTGGTGGTAGTCACCACCATGCCATGGCACAGAGCTCGCAGCCAACCCCAGGTCACAGTGCATTATCTGCTCAACTCCAAGGTGCTGCCAACTTCCCCCTCCCATCCTCTACGAAAGGCCCAGTTGCTATGAATGCGAGCACTCCGCGCCAGCAGAAGCCAAGGGCACAGCTTGCACAGCTGCAGCCCAATGATGTATCGGCCATGTTCCCCTTTGCTTCAAACTCAACTGCCCCCATTGGCCAGTCCGTGATAATGCCGCCTGATCATCCACAGCAAAGGCATGCTGTCGCTGCTTCTGCTACTTCTGGACCAACACCGAATAGCTTGTACCAACAGCAACAGCAGCAGAAAGAGCACTACTGTCGCATGCGGCAGTACTACCATGCGCAGCTGCTGCGCCAGCAACATCTGAAGCAAGCTGGTGCTCATCCTCAGCAGCACATGATGCATGGCCCGTATGATGGAGATGCACTGCTCGCCTTCCGTGGTGACCATTCCACTGGCCAAGATGGCATGCCGGAAGACATGGCTCGGCAAATGCTAGTGGCTGGCCAGCAGCAAGCCAGCAATCGGCAAATGCACACCTTCAAGCAGAATTCTCTGAGAAGAAGACGCAGCTCAAGCATTTGCAACGTCCAGGCTTCTTTGCCCTTGGACCCTCTGATGTTATCAAAGCAATCGTCAGGCGGCAGCAGCACTATGACCACTGCTACCACCACCGCTAGCACCACAGCCAGCACTGTCGGCGTTAATTTGGGTAAGTTCTTTTCTGATCATTCCTGACAAGTACTGAATTTTCCAGGGTGTTGCGCCATACTGCTGTGTAAGCACGAGATAAACACATTTTTGTTCGCGTACACCTCCATTCAGTGGTATAGATAACCAGAAGGCTGGACTTGGCCCTGCAAGCATTAAAATAATTTCGGAGATAAAATGTTGTTTTGTGGAGATGGTGAGCCGTGCATGTGCTGGCACAGACAGTTGCTGCATGTACAGTAGTGCTGTACAAAGTGGCGGAGGGGCTTGTTTTCTTACTTTGTTACTGAACGCTGGAGCCAGGAGGAGTACATGAACGCGAGAGTGTGTAGCTGGGATGGGTGGCGATCACAGCGATATTCCTGGTTTGCATCAAGCCGACGATCTTGTGTTGCACGGTTGCAGCTCAGTTGGATGCTGTAGGACACTTCGGATCTCAATCAACTACCGTATAGTCCTGTATAAAGGCCTCGGCTTATATGATTTTTTGGGGGAATTTTTGCAGGCTTCTATACAAGACAGGTATTTCTGTGTATGTCAACACTAAAACCAGGCTTATGTGGCGACAGTGAATCTTGAAAATCGGGCTTCTATTCAAGACAGCCTTCTATATGAGACAGGCTTTAATACAAGACACTACGGTACATGATGTAGTGCATGGGTTTCACCATGACTGACAGCAATACGGTGTGAACACTAGTTGCACACTCTGGTTTTCCTGTATCCATGCTAGAGCTAGCTGCAACACTTTTGGGTTACTGCCTTTTTACAAGTAGCCTTCTTTGGTGTGTGTGTGTCTGTGTGCTCGTGCGCGCGTGTGTGTGTGTCTGTGTCTGTGTTTGCTCGTGCACGTGTGTGTGTATCTGTGTGCGTGTGACTTTTTACTCCGCATTCGGTTTCTGTCATATGTCTTCAGGTGAGGCTATGCAGCAACCCCTGCCGCCGTCTCAGTGGCACTATTTGCCACAGCTACCTGAGAGCCAACAATAGCGAGAATATCATCATCAACACACAATCAGTGATGGCATTAATGCTAGCATTGAGTGTTGCCGTTGCTACTGTGGAATAGCCCCACTGATTAACGCCGTATGTGCACAGAGCGGCCAGTACTTTCCGCATCACGGGACAGTGGCTAGTTACAGTTCCGACTTTATTCTATCACTGTGTGGAGTGTTGCAATGCATACGCGCGCGCACACACAGCCAACAGACCATTCGTGTTGCAGGCAGTAGTGTCCTAGTAGTGCTGCGGCTCACATTTCCCCATAGGTATCCCATAGGCTACATCCATTCAGCACTAACCCTCCCTCCCCCTCTCTCCACCCACCCACCCACCCACGCACACGCTGTACAAGAGTAGTCGTACTGTGTCAGTTATACTCACTCTTGCTGGCCTTTTTAGCGGCAAGCATCCCCATATATATACAAACATTGTACATGTAGTAGCTATAGTAATAGTTGAAGTAGTTTCTTAGTCTCATTGACTTGACAAAACCTTTAGGCTTGTACGTGTGGCAGTGTGTGTTATGCTGACCAAGCACATAGTCGTGTGCGCGCACCGCATGGCACCACGTGGCTGTCAATAGATTGCATTGGCCTATAACACACTAGTTACTACTCCAACCGACCATCTTACTCATTATCTTTCTTATCATCAACTTCGTGCTCAACCCGCTCGGGCTAGCATGGCTCCGGATATCGGCTGAGTTTCCCATTCTAACAGGGCATTGCTGTAGTCCTCTAGGGCTCAAATCAAGACGAACACTGTGGCCATGTCAAGCCACCTCTTACGCTCCAGTTCTTTTCTTTTCTGTTTTACCAACTATAGTCGCTTTAGCTTTTATCACTTCTGTTCTTCTGTTTTTTTTCTTCGGACACCTGCACACGCATGTCTACTACTATTTCTCTCTCTCATTCTCTCGCTCTCTCTCTCTCTCTCTCTCTCTCTCTCTCTCCTCTCTCTCTCTCTCTCTCTCTCTCTCTCTCTCTCTCTCTCTCTCTCTCTCTCTCTCTCTCTCTCTCTCTCTCTCTCTCTCTCTCTCTCTCATTACTCTTGACCGTTGCTTTTTTAAATGATCTGTCTCACCCAGTCGCCCAGTTTCTACTGGTTTACTGTAGTACCATGCTTGGTTTCTTGCTACCAAAGTGCTTTCTCCTCTCTTCATCTTTTTTCTTCTTCTTTTTTCTCGTTATCTGGCCTTTCCGCTGTCTTTTCATGAATGCCTGATCTCTGTTCAGGCAATTCTGCTGCTTCCTTTTCTCACCCTACATCTGGACATATACATGGCACGTCCGTTATAGAGTGCAGGGCACCTGATTTCTGTTCGGGTCATGTAGCTCCCTTTTTCTCGTCCTATATTTGTGCACGTGCATGTCATGTCCGTGCTAGAATGTAGGGCTTCAGTTGTTTTACTGCTGACATGCTGCCATTACCATTGTCATATTCTCCCCATACTAGTAGTGCTAGTAGTACGGCTGCCTCGTCTATTTTCACACCCTTTTCTTCCTCATTGCTTTTATAAGTTTTATAGTAACACCGTTTCCTTCCCTGTTGCCTCATTGATGTTCATCCAATACATACAATCATGTATTGTTTTGCATGGGCTGTTTTCGAGCTTGTATTGCAGAACTGTTTTGCATGCGCGCTGTGTAAGAGTTCGTAGTGCAGCACTCGCAGCTACAGCTCGACAGTATGGCGAGCGTAGCCTTCTCTGCTATTTACCTCCCCTCGTGTATGTTGCACCATCCTTTCACCCCGTTGATCTTCCCGCCGCAGTTTGCAACGCCTCGTTCTTTCTTGAATAGATCAGCCACCTCTGTTTTAACCTTTTTTTTCCCAAGAGCAATGTCCTTTTGCACACGAAAATATTTAATGCTACATAAAGTTGCGGTGAGCACCCTTTTCCCTTATTTCATGCACTCTTGCTGAACATATTTGCATGGAAACGACAGCAAATTTATACGATAAAGTGCACTTGTATGCCGGCGGGCAAACACAGAAGCAGAATCGTTGAGTGTGTTGGTCGCTGCCTCTGTGCGTTGTGTGTGTGTGTGTGTGTGTGTGTGTGTGTGTGTGTGTGTGTGTGTGTGTGTGTGTGTGTGTGTGTGTGTGTGTGTGTGTGTGTGAAAGACCAAAATATAGGGATTCACTGGCCAGAAAAAAGTCACTTCAAAATAGCTGTATGGTGTAGACCAGGCTGAATAGTGACGGTCAATTCTTCAGCCTTGCAAGCTGTTGAATGGTGCAATCCCAGCACAAGTTGCTATGGCTTCTGCCGTAGCATTGCTATCATCGCCTCCGGCGATGGGCGTCAAAGGTCAGGTCAGGTGTGTGTGTGTGTGTGTGTGTGTGCGGTTCACACTGTTGTCATTTTGTAGGTGAGTGCAGTACTGTCCAAGACTGTTCAGTTAGTGTTGGGGAAGGCCAATGTGGAAAGTGTTCCTACATGTGAACTCTCATACATGATACTGTACCTCTCCAAAGCCTTTGGTGGATGGTGGGACACTTTTAGAAAGTGCAGCAGATTTATAAACTGCAGAAAGTGTTGCAGTGTACTAGACTGAAAATGTTCGCACCACGTACCAGGGCGTCGTAAAAATTAATACATTCTTTTACATTGTTTTTACGACTCCCTGATCTAGCTGCACACATTCACTTCCGCTCCATTCAGGCAATGATATCGTACGATCGTGCGTGTAGCATTGCACAGTGGATAGCTCGATGTGGAGTGCATTATTATGCATGGCTGGAGTAAGCTACGTCTAGTATGGTATGGGTGCTTGATGACTCGATTAGTGGTTACCGTGGTTACTTCCATTCTAGGAGAGGCCATGACGTCATCGACAACAGGATGTACAAGTCATGTATTGATACACGCTTCGATTTTCATGCCCGCCTGGACCTGTCCGCTTGGTCAGGTTATTACAGGACCAACGTTTCCGCCATTAACACATGTTTACTACTGTGGAGGGGCATGTGTATCCACCATATCGGCGATATACAAACTGTATGAAAGGCCACAGTACTACCGGACTAATTGAAAACTGCTTCCGGCGGTCCTGAATTTATTTACACATGGCTCAATGTATCCGGCTATGGAATGTGTGGACATGTATCACAGTGGGCATGGTGAGCCCGGCGGAGATGATGAAATTTGAGACTGGCAAAACGTGAACCAGGCACAAGTTGAGATAGAAGAGTCCATTTTTTTCTCTCAAATCTTTAGACTCGTATCACATGAGTCTATGATATTACGTAGTGGATAGCAATTTATAAATACATGCTTGGTCTCGAGCATGTCACGGACAATGGCTCTGAACATAAAAAAGGATATGCCGCTTGAGAAGTAGACATCCAGCAGACTGCTGGTGGCCTGCAACGTGTTCACTGGCAGTGGAAAACCCCCACTGAGCTACAACAGCACAGCAAATCCTGCTCTCAAGTAAAAATAATATAATTTAGTACTGTGGCGGACTTTGAAGCCTGTTGAGAGGTCAAGCGGCCACGGGGCGCTGCCCTTGCAGTCACGAGCACTGCTGGTCAATTTTTACAGCGTCATGGTACGGGAACTACTGACTACTGTACAGTGCTTGTACGGGCTAAACGCAGTAAGGCCAAGGGTTCCGGCCCCGGTCATCCTATCGGATTTCAAACTGTCCATGACACGGTGCAGTCACAAGTATCTAGCTGTCTGGTGATTGAGCATAAGGAGAACTGTTAGGAGTAGGTAGATAGGCTGTGGTTAAATCGGTAACTGGCTGTGGCGCATCATCATAGGCAGGTGGTAGTTCTGGTATGCTTTCTGCATCAAGCCTAGCCCCCCGGTGCGGAGTTAAGCCAGTACTGCCGTACGTTGCAGCATGTGCCAGCTCAGTACCGCTGTGTATCCCTTGATACCCAAAACGGTCAGTGCCACCGCTCGCTGTAGAACTGTAAGCAGGAGGAAGCTCGCTTCCATGTACCACGTGACACCGTGCAGTTTGATTTGCCAGCGTACTTTGGTGCAACATTGAGTTTGCATACTGCTGCTGCTGCTGTGGCTGAGGCTGTGGCAGCTGTTGCTGCTGCTGCTGCTGTTGGGTTTGATCTTCTTGGTAAGACGGACATGCATCGGTGACGTTCACCTGTAACTCTATTCTCTGCCTCCGCTTCCGACAGAATCGCAGTACTACCACCAGACAGGCGATAAGGACACTTGCAGATGAAATGCCAACAGCCACCCATTGGCCCGGCGGACCGAGGTAAAACCCCAGGACGAGGAGTGGTGCAAGGATTGCTGCTCCCACACACAGGCAGCAAGCTGCGAGGAGCACAGAAAGCAGAAGCACGGCCACACATGCACAACCGGCACACATAATTATATGCAGACACGCTCACACATACCCCCCCCCCCCCCCCGCCACACACACGCATACACACATGCACACACATTCACACATGCCCGCACACAGCCGGATTGTTAGTCTTGAGTAGTACCCACATAATTATTATGGTCATTACCAAGAGTACATAAACCAGAGTGTGGAACTCGGGATGGTTCCTGTGGGAGCGTAATTCGTGCAGTGCGTCATTTCTGATGGCATGGTAAGCCACAGGTACGGTGAAAAGTTGCGTAGCCAGTCACGGTGGTGCAGGTCACTGAGTTTGTCCTGATTTCGGTTTTTTTTGATACGGATAGCCTAGTGAATTTGCTTGCCAGCGGATGTACGCAGCACACGCAGTCACACAAAACACCGAAATCCTAAAACAGGACGTCTAAAATCATGCAAACTTGGCCGCAGTGATTTCCGAGCTGTGAAACATGAACATTTGAGCTGTACGCAAGTTGCAGCTTGGCTGACCTCATCAGGGTGCCGTAGTGCACGAACTGCGCTGTTTCAGATCTGATACCCACAATTGCACACGCTAAGTTATATATATTTTAGTGTACTCTTGTCATTACCAGTCTCACTTGTTTGTGACACACACTGAGTCCTTGCTGTGGCAAGCGTACAATGACTAAAGTATTTGTAACGGTCTCTGTGCGGCAAATCGAGATTTCACGTGATACGTTGGTGATCACATCCAGTAGGCCGCAAAATACTGTCACCATGCCGCACATGTTACCGCGAGCACATTAGCATGTTGTACGCATTTACAGCTCTTCCTAACTCCACCAGTCCACCAGTCCACCAGCTTTACAGCGCTAAAGTCCATTCGCCTTATAGCGCTCAAGTTCATTAGCCTTCAGTGGTCAAGTCCGGCCAGCCTTGCAGTGATACCTCACTCAGCTACAGTGCATGCCTGAATCCAGGCTACCAGGCTACCTTGCATGCCTGAATCCAGGCTACACTGCATGCCTGAATCCAGGCTCTAGTGTTTACATAGATGTTTCACCCTGCAGTGTAGGAAGAAACGCATCACCGGCTGAGTTCAACTCGGTGTGTACAAAAACACCGGCCTGCGGAATGAAACTCCCCCAGGGTAGACTTTCAACTCAACGGACTGGGAGGCCAAGTTGAAACTGATCCCAGGCCGGGAACCCACACAATGTCCACATTCTCATTGGCGGATTTGCCATGGGATGGAAGTTGTGTAGACATATGAGTGAAGATTTGACAGCTGAGAAACAACTCACTACCATAGGTAAATCTTCATGTGAGTAGAGGTTTTCCGATCATGCTATTAAAAATATTTCATTCAGCCTTCTGCTTCAAAAGTTGCGGGCTCTGCATGCGTTTTTGACATCGCTTTTAATAGCTCATCCAATGTTCAAAGTAGCGTGGGCTTTGAAGTAGAAGTGTCCGATGAACACGAAGTTCGTTTTAGGCAAGAATCCGAGATTGAAATTTCTTGCTGGTCTAAATTTGAATTCCCCGCAAGTTCCCAGTGCTGTCACAGAAATGACGCCAACTACAGAATCAGCGGACTCGGTGTGCTCAGGAAACTGGTGTCGTCTTCGAGTTTGACCACACAAGATACGTAAACGGTGGATAGGAAGCTCTCTAACTCGTATAGCCCATAACCATTCTGGTCGTAGGAGCACCATGTGTGTCATAAGGCAGCAGCATCAAAAGAACAGAGAAATCTAACTACATTGATAAACAAGCTGCCTATACCTATCATGATCAGCAGCAACGAGAGAGAGAGAGAGAGAGAGAGAGAGAGAGAGAGAGAGAGAGAGAGAGAGAGAGAGAGAGAGAGAGAGAGCGAGAAAACAGAGAGAGAATTGTACGATTCATTGGTCCAGTTTTTGATGTTGGTGAACCAATTGTGACGGGGGCGACCACGGGGCTTAATCCAGGCACCATTCCATCCAAGAAATAGTGGGATGTGTCACTTTTTAAAAAGCAGGCTGGCTCATACAGTGATGAAAAGTGCCATGTTAAAATCTCGCCAGAGCCTGACTTTTGACCAATCTGCTACTTCAGTGCCGCTCAACGAAATCCGGTCGCGTCTCGTCACGTCAAGTTTGCGCCTTGCACCATTTCACAGCCCAGTGTTCGCAGGTCTAGGGCAGCGCAGCACCCGGCGCATACTTGAGTGACTCGACTGGATTTCATTGAGCAGTGCTGTAGTGCTAATGATAACAGTGTATGTACTTCACAGCCAGTCTTGTATCTGACTTGTATCTGACCAACTGCTTGGCAATACGACTGCATGCAAACTCACCACAAGTATTGAATGCTGTACTATGACTTGAAGGTGTCAATCCTGGTCGGCGGAGTTCATTACGCCGCAGAACGCTTTGACGGTCCAACTCGCGTGCAAGACTGGTTGGCACCCTTTCTGAGCGCTGACTTTGGACCCAAAGAAATACGTGCACATACACACACACACACACACACACACACACACACACACACACACACACACACACGCGCGCGCGCGAACATACAGACACCCACACCCACCCACATAAGCAGACAGACCAGGCAGGCAGGCAGACAGACACACATGCATACAGACATGCTATCACTTGTGATCACATACAAAGTTAGTTATGCTCAGAATCAGCAGGCATTGATTTAGCAGCTTTTATTGTACATGCAACATGAATGTTTCAACGTCCAGTTTTGATCTTCAATGAATTCTTGTCCGAACTCCAAAGTACACGTGCACCATGCAGGCTCAAGAGTATTAACAGTGAATTCTCACGTGTATCAAGCTGTGATTGTGCACTCTCGCGCCTTGAGCAGGCAGTAGGCAATCTGATGTCTCTAGTTCCTGTGGAAATGCAGTTCACTGAGTAGTTGTAACATAGTACCTTGGTGAGGGTGACACATGATATTGTGTTGTGCTCACTGACGCTGGACGATGCAGTGCACTGAAGCTCGGCGGAGCAGGTGGTCGTCGAGGTCGCCGGGGTGGGTTCAGTGGCCCTTCTGGGCAGTAGAAAGGTGCGTACCGCTCCGGCATGCTGGCAAACCCTGTGACTAGCTGGCTCTTACCTGCACATTACGTGACACAGACACACAGCACAAGATCATGTTGTCACGAGAATGCAATTAGGAGAGTAGTAATATTATAATAAACGAGGGTTAGCATGAAAGTGGCTTGTGAGCAACACTGGCTCACACTCAATCACTGCTTTCACAAATTCATTTCAGAAATAAATTTCAACGTTTCGGTCAACCATCATCAGGAATGAAGTGGGCATACTGGTTAGGATGGGTATATAAATGGGTTTATAAATGAGGAGCACTGCGTTGCGGTGTTGCTCACAAGTCACTTTTTTACTTATGAAGCTGCATTATGAAGCTGCATGACACCTCCTACAAGATTATAAAGAGGATTAGTATGGTTGTGGCAAATCTTGGCACTACAGTACTCGGTACGAGGGAGTCTCCCTCGTACTTAACGGTACTATACAAAGGAGAATGTAGACTATAGAGGAATACTGATTAGGATAGCACGTCAGGAAGTGAACTGCAATGCAAGACAATCATGGACTTTAATTAATAAAGTGTTCAATTGTGTCCTTTGCACTGGTCAGGTGTCTCTTTGCTTGTCACACAGTGCTTGCAGTTGAGACTAGCAAGTTGATACATGTCTTGGGAGTACTGAATCCCTGTTAATCAGCTGATGTACAACACACTTGTATCAATGCTAGGCATGCATTTGGGATTGTTTTATACGTCTACTGTTCCATGTGCTTCCCGCATCCCCCCTCCCCTCCCCTTTAAACTATGGCCTGCGGTTATCACCTCCATTAGGCAGCTTCTGCGGCTGGGCACCCATGATCGTTCATATTCCGACTGCCGCTTTGTACAGGGTCTTTACTGAGGCTCATGGGCTGGTGAAATCGGACTTTGCTCCTCACTTTCAGTCATGCTTTCTTTGTGTCGGCAGGTATCACAACCATGGCATGATGCATGTTGCTGGCCTACTTGTACAGTCATGCTCTTGTACATACGGATTCAAGTCATACATGATGGATGCCACTGGAATGTGCTGCCACGAGATACACAGCCCAATGTCCGACCACAGGGGTACAATCCTGATCCAGTGGATATGCACATTATACAGTACAATGACCTTGCCAATAAGTACGACGGATCGGGTTTCACTATTAATTTTTACCAGAATGACAATCATCTGTTGCCTTTGAATCGTGACCTTTTAGTCTCCCGGCAAATTCGTGTTGTTTTCAGACCGTCACAGCATCATGATTTGCGGTGTGATAGACAATAATAATATATATAATTATTATCTAAAAAGATTTCGAAAACCTCAAACAAAGTAACTAAGGGCCATGATGAATCGATCATCATTCATGTATCAAGCACCGACATGACTTACGCAACGCACAGAATCAGTCGGTTGAATTGAAGTGCCTTGAAGTCCAGTCTGTCGACTCTGCATCGACCGAAACACCTACAGTTGCAGTTGCAGTTGCAACGCGCCTTCTTATCTGCACGCTGCGCGCTGATAGCGATACGAGTCAAGCTTGCAATGTGAAGATGATTGCAAATAAATCACTGTGTGCATCTCTTGACCCTTGCAGTTTGGGATGGTGCAGGCAAATGATTACGAATACGAGGTGAAGGCGGTAGCACAGCTCTCCTTTGACAGAGGCGCCAGCCGTTGCCGGTTACTTCAGCGTGTTCAACAGCAGCAGCGATGGCGGAAACTGAGTTTACCGGTACTATTGTAGAGAAGGTGCTGGCAGGTGGATTTATGTCCGTCGGCTCGTGATGGAAGAAGCTGCGCTACCGGAGGTGCGATGTGGAGATCCGGACAAAAATGTTGAAGTGCACTGGTGCGCTTCAGAGTCAGAATCAGATCCTTGAATGTCAACCTGCAGCGGCTCTTGATTTACCTCCAGCGAGTAGACTACGGAGCAGTTAGCTGTAGGCCCCAGCCCACGGCCTAATAAGCTCCTGATTTCATGGAAAACTCGAGTCATAATCCTGCAACAGCGGCGTTTAGTTGCTTGCCGATGCCGATGCTTGGAAGCCTTGCTGAGCAGTGGTTGACTAGTGGCAGTGACTAGCTGTGCGCCCAGCGGGGAAACCCAAAGAAGTACGGTAGATTTCGCGATGAATGATGACTAGTCTATTCGACTATTACTAAATTACTAGACTGTGACCGGAGAAAACAGTGCTGCATGCTAGTACATGTATGAGCATTGAGCGTGTGTCATGTCTTGTGACTTTTGATCAAGCCTGGACTCCCGGATCGAGTGTGCACTGATTGTGCAGATGTAACTCACTGAACAGGTAGCAGAGGATCTACGACTACGAGTTCGAATCAAAGAGGTCTACATCACCATGTCCATGGTCGATCAGAGACAAGTAAAGACTAAGTGTACAAGTCATGTACATGTAGTAGAATTATGTACGTGATGGAGCACGTGCAGCTGTGAAGACTGAAATGTTACCTTATACTAAGACTTAGTTATAGTTATCAGTCATGATGTGCACCAAGACTGCAAGAGAGCTTGGACCTCCACATACATTCATTCCTGCTTGTGGGGATGTGGATATGCCAAGACATAATGAGCTGGCTGGCTGCAGGCTGCAGCAGCATAGCTAGTGACGTTTGACAATAGCTACTACACAGACACCGACTCATCACATGCGGCTGGAAGCTTCAAATCACGTACCATTGACTGATATTATGGTATCCTAAACAGGCCAACATGCCAAGTGAGTTTGACTGTTGACATCCCATGTCAATCCAGCAGACCTTTCTCAATGGTGTTGCGCGCAGCTTGGCTGCTCGTGCAGGAACGTATACAAGTCACGAGGAATGACCGAAGTAGGCCTGAACAATTTTATTTTGTGCCACGGATGGCTGGCACTGACATGACGGATAGCAGCTGAATTCACCTAGCTCTGCATGCTACATGTAATTCACTGTCACACTGGTCACTGCGTAGCCTCTTTTGAGAGTCTTCCTGGTGAGGCTTCTGATAGTGGCTGCCAATAAAGACATGGAACAAACCAACACAGGTTATCAAATATCACTATAATTATAATTATTGTCAATCACTCCGCCAGTCTAGTGATAATACATTATGGGCAACGTTGTGGCTATTTTCTCTTCTCGACTAGCTCAGGGACTACTACGACGTAGTCAGTTTATGCTGTGAACAATAAAAAGTTGCCTTCAAAGTCAGATCATTGTGAAAGATGCCAAAGTCACGGGTGCCTACCTGTGAATAGTATATAACTAGTAGAACTATTTAGACGGTTGTGAATCGTTGCTGCATTCAACTCAACTGTGCAGTTGGCAGCTAAACGATCCTCTGGTCCTTTTTAACCAAGAGCCGGACTGCTGTATGTGATCTTTACTTTCTCTCTGCAAGATCTCAAGATCAAGATCAACTCTGCTCTGTGTATGAGATCTAGTGCACCTTCATTTCAGAACAAGTCAGTTTTAACTGACTTGTTCTGAAGTTTACTCGCATGACGTTATGACGTACGATCAAACACTCCTGAGAGAGCTTACAGTCCTTTGTTAAATGTACTGAAGTAGATTTATTTAGCTTTTATACTGCAATTAGTTTGCACCTGTAAACTTGGATAGTTGTACAGCGGTCTCCATGATTGTGTTATTACAGTAGTTGAAAACAAGCTGAAGGCGAAGTGCAGAGAGAACAGAGTACTAACACACAAGTCAGTGACCATGCACCATGCATATTTATGCCCGGAGTGTCCATGGTGAATGGCCTGATCCCCCCCCCCCCCCCCCCCTAGGGTCCGGCGGATTCTCCGGCAGAAAAATTGGCAGAATTCGGTACTTTTTCTGGTAAGTTTCATTCATGTTTGGTATGTGGATAAAAAATGGAGCAGACTTCGAGGAATTTCCCGCCATAAGGTTTGTATCGTTCTGCCAATTTCACTGCTTTTCGAGCAGAATCTGCCACCTTTTCGAGCAGAATCCGCCGTTCCCTATGGACCCCCCCCCACCCCCCGAACCAGGGGTCGGGTCTTACCATTCCCTGGTCTGGGACACGCACCAGATCAGACCAGGTAAAAGAGAACCGGATGTGACCATGGTGACGGCACGGCTGCTAGCTAGCCGCGCAGCCTATCTATACTATAGCTGCTCTGTGTTCTTCACTATTGGTGTTGGTGTGTTGGCCTGGCCGGAGTCGCAGTGACTCGCACTCGCAGTGACCATGGTGACAGGCCCAGGGTCAGTACAGTCAGTGCGGTCGACCAGACCCAAGGATCAGGAAGTAACTGTTGCAACTATTGACTTATTGTACTTTTCACTCATGCTCAGCACTATGCAGGGCCTTCACCATGTTCAGAGGCTTCGCACTTACTAAGTAGTTACTGACTTAGCACTCACACACTCAGTGACACAGAACATGCAGAAACCTGAGAAAGTCACACAGTCAGTGTCAGTACAGACAGTAGTCAGTAGTGAGCGAGTGAAGGATACACACGGTCACAGGGTTGTGAGGTTCCAGACCAGACCAGTAAACCATGGAAACGATGACCAGCGACATACACTGTCAGTTTAGCACTTCGCTCTCTCACACAATCAGATTGTGTGAGAGAGCGAAGTGCTAAACTGACAGATTCTGTCAATCATAATCATTTACACAGTCACCAGGTCACAGGAGTGTTGTGGAGGATGCACATGATAACTACGGACCACGGTATTTACGCCTGGAGTGGAAGCAGTTCTTTCCCTTCTTTTTTTGAGCCTGTGCTAGTGGTCAGTGCTGATGTGTCGTTGAACTGCTCACGTCTTCTCTAGTCTTGGCTATTACAGTATTAGTATTACCGCCGGCAGGCACAGTGGCCATGTCCAAGGCACAATGAGACAGGGGCCGATAACTGCTTCCCTCGACAGTTGTGAGTGCCAGTAGCTTGTGCGAGTTCTTCCTCAGTTCATTGTCAAGACGCAACGCCGCGTCACATGAAGCAAATCCGTAGCAAACAATGGAGGAGTCGGACGAGACAAGCGCTAGCGACGCACCCACGTCTGAAGGTTCAACCGTCACGCCCGACTCAAGCCTGGAGTTCGAAGACGAGGACTTCATTGAGGATTTGCTGGGCGCTAGGACCCCGTCAACCCCGTCGCTGTCGGATATCCACAAACCGGGTGCGGTGCCGGAAGAAGAGGACTTGGCGGAAAGAGCGCTTGCTCGAAGCATAGACGAACTGCAGTCAGCGCAGAAGCGAGGAAAGGGAAGGTCCAGGGTTGCACGCTTTTGGCTGGACGCGGCACAAGCCGAGGACGAGAAGTAAGAAAGTATTTTTCAGGGAGGGTTGGATGGGGTCACTGCTCTGACCCAAATTTCGTTTATATTTTATATATTTATTACAACATCTCAAGACCCAGTGGAAACACCGGCCAATGTTAAAGGGGAAGTTAAAGGGGAAGTTAAGGCAAAAATTAAAATTTCACCAGTTGTAGTCTTCGGGGTGCTGAGTCGAATGGTCGTGGTCCGAGGAAGCTGAGACGCTCCCTTCCTACTTGAATCCCAATCGAACTCGCGCACTTCCACCGAAACTGGGTGACTGCGCCCTACTAGATGGGGATTTGTATGCAAAATGTCACTAAAAGCGCCATTTCGTTCTTATAAAAGCACGGATGACCGCGATTGGCCCATATGTTGTAGTCTTTGGGACGCTGAGTGGACTGGTTTTGGTCCGAAAAGGCTGCGATGCAGCGTTCCTCCTTTATTCCCAATCGAACATGGTTGAAGAAGCGGTCACGTGGTCCTGGGTGCCCAAATCACCTGGTCACCACGCCAGCAGGTGACAACTTTCACACCAAGGTTCAACTCGGGTTCAACTCGAGTGACAGGACTGCACCCAAAAAAGGTCAAACAGGCTAGTAAGTTGTACCCTGCAGGCACGGTGACCAGGTGACTGGTGTACGCAGGAGCACGTGACCGCTTCTTCAACCATGTTCGATTGGGAATAAAGGAGGAACGCTGCATCGCAGCCTTTTCGGACCAAAACCAGTCGACTCAGCGTCCAAAAGACTACAACATATGGGCCAATCGCGGTTATCCGTGCTTTTATAAGAACGAAATGGCGCTTTTAGTGACATTTTGCATACAAATCCCCATCTAGTAGGGCGCAGTCACCCAGTTTCGGTGGAAGTGCGCGAGTTCGATTGGGATTCAAGTAGGAAGGGAGCGTCTCAGCTTTCTCGGACCAAGACCATTCGACTCAGCACCCCGAAGACTACAACTGGTGAAATTTTAATTTTTGCCTTAACTTCCCCTTTAAGGCAAAAATTAAAATTTCACCAGTTGTAGTCTTCGGGGTGCTGAGTCGAATGGTCGTGGTCCGAGGAAGCTGAGACGCTCCCTTCCTACTTGAATCCCAATCGAACTCGCGCACTTCCACCGAAACTGGGTGACTGCGCCCTACTAGATGGGGATTTGTATGCAAAATGTCACTAAAAGCGCCATTTCGTTCTTATAAAAGCACGGATGACCGCGATTGGCCCGTATGTTGTAGTCTTTTGGACGCTGAGTCGACTGGTTTTGGTCCGAAAAGGCTGCGATGCAGCGTTCCTCCTTTATTCCCAATCGAACATGGTTGAACAAGCGGTCACGTGCTCCTGGGTGCCCAAATCACCTGGTCACCACGCCAGCAGGCGACAACTTTAACACCAAGGTTCAACTCGAGTTCAACTCGAGTGACAGGATTGCACCCAAAAAAGGTCAAACAGGCTAGTAAGTTGTACCCTGCAGGCACGGTGACCAGGTGACTGGCGTACGCAGGAGCACGTGACCGCTTGTTCAACCATGTTCGATTGGGAATAAAGGAGGAACGCTGCATCGCAGCCTTTTCGGACCAAAACCAATCGACTCAGCGTCCAAAAGTCTACAACATATGGGCCAATCGCGGTCATCCATGCTTTTATAAGAACGAAATGGCGCTTTTAGTGAGATTTTGCATACAAATCCCCATATAGTAGGGCGCAGTCACCCAGTTTCGGTGGAAGTGCGCGAGTTCGATTGGGATTCAAGCAGGAAGGGAGCGTCTCAGCTTCCTCGGACCACGACCATTCGACTCAGCACCCCGAAGACTACAACTGGTGAAATTTTAATTTTTGCCTTAACTTCCCCTTTAAGAGAGTGGGTGATTGCCAACCACGGCGATAAATAAAAGTAAGGGGAGGGAAAAAGAAGGAGTAGCAAAATGAACAGCAACAACAACTCCGTAAAGAAAGATAATGTCAAGTAAAAACATTGAAAAATACAGAGACGCAAAGGACATGTGGATAATGAGCTATTTATGTCGTAGTAAATAAGGGGCGGCACGGATCTTAAACAGGCGGAGTGAGGTCAGATCCTTAACTTCTCTGGGTAGAGTGAGCCAAACAGAATAAGCAATACAGAGAGGGGAGCGCAAAAGAGTGGATGAGTTACACTTAGGGAGTAAGAGCGAGTTGCTAGTTCTTAGAGAAGAGAACCAATTAAAACACATGAGATGAGGTGGGCACAACTCAAGCTTAATAGAATGGACAAGAGAAGCCAGGTGTGCACTGCGTCCATTTGATAACGGGGTTGTGTGAGCGATTTTATAAAGGGCGGATGATGAGAGCATGCGGGGTTGACGGAGGAGAATTTTAAGGATTTTCTTGTGGTGTATTTCAAGCTTTGCAGCAGCGGAAGAGGAGAATTCCTAAGGATTTACTTGATTTTTTACAGATATATTCGATGTGGGGTACCCAAGAGAGTGCAGAGTCAATCACAATGCCAAGGTGTTTGTGAGAAGACACTATGTCAATTGGATTTGGAAAGTTGGCATGGATGAGGGTTGTGAACTCTGGCTGGGGCGGGAAGAGCATGATCTTTGTTTTTGATAGATTTGGGGACAATCTCCAGGACGACATCCAGGAAAGAACTTCCTGAATGCCAGCACGCAAGTTGTTTTTCAGGCCAGTGAGGGAAGGTGATGAGGTGAGAAGGGTCGTGTCGTCAGCAAACAGAGACGTTCCGGGGAAGACTGCAGGTAAATCGTTTACGTAAATTATAAATAGTAGGGGACCAAAAATTGATCCTTGAGGAACGCCTGACAATACTGGCTCTGCAGCCGAGGATGTGCCAAGCACAGCTACGTACTGATAACGCCCAGAGAGATAAGATTTCAGCCAGGAGAGTGGTTGTTTACGTACCCCGAATGCATGCTCGAGCTTGGCCAAAAGTCCTCGATGCCAGACGGTATCAAACGCCTTGGCCAGTCAAAGAAGCAAATACCAGCAAGCGCTCTGTTATCCCTATGCTGGCACACCTGCTGCACGATGCGGATCAGTTGAAGGGAGGTGGAGTCGCCTTTACGAAACCATGATTGCGCGGGACTCAGAAACGGCGAAACATGTCTGTATAAGTGATCATAAAAGATGCGTTCACATACTTTGTGTTGTGTATGCACTACCGTATTTATGCATGTACTCTTATGGACTGCCCTGTCCATGTATGATGCTCCCCTACACTGTGCTGCATCTACTGTGTTCTATGTATGTAACTCACATGTCTTATTATGCATTCTTGTTGTACCCTGCACGCACTGCGCTCCGTATGCGTGTCTTACACATACCCGTGTCCTACCTAACTAGGATTCTATGCGTATGCATCTGGACACTCTCGCGATTCCCGTCTCTGTACTGCCTTCTTTGTACCAACGCTTATCCTTGTAGTTTTATTAGTTTCCTTTGTCTTTTGTCCTTGTTCATGCAAGATAACAGAACAACATAACACTTTGGACACGCAGGGAAAAAGAGAGATAGGGCGGTAGTTTGCAGGTTCGTGGCGGGAACCTTTCCTGTGTACAGGTATGACTTTCGCTGTTTTCCATGCAGAAGGGAATATGCCCGTGGTAAATGACATGTTGAAAATATGGCACAAAGGGAATGCTATGGATGGTGCCAGGGCCTTGAGGATCCGGTTGGGGATGCCGTCGGGACCAGATGCCTTGCACGTCGGAAGCTTCTTCAGATGACGCCGGACAGTGGCAATTGTGGTGATGACGGACGTGAAACAAGCTGAGGGCTCCGAGGCGGTGAGAATAAGGGGAATAGAGAGCAACGGGTCATCTGGCCGAGTCACAGAGGCAAACGGGGCGTTTAATGCGGTAGTTTTGGCCAAAGGGTCAGCCGCCTGCTGAGTCCCTGTTGTGAGTGACGGAATTTCCCGTGATACGTTTCGAATTCTTGCTTGTCTCACAAACTGGTGAAGCGATGGACGGTGTCTACCTGCAAAGTAGTTTGCACTGAGCGGATATAAGCTCTGTACTTTGTCCGCGTCAGGGTTTTCACTATATTTCGCTGCTGTTGGTATGCTTGATTGTTTTGTTGTGTTGGGTACTTCTTAAAAATGCTATAGAGATCATATTTCCACTTGATTGCTGTGCGGAGATGGGCATCAACCCAGGGTGGCTGACTGGGCCGTGGGCAGCGGTGAGAATACGGCTGCTTTCCGAATGGCCAGAGGTGCTTCTCAAGGGCACTGTTGAGAATGGAAGAAAAGTGCGAAAGCGCATCATTGACGTTGCTGGCACGCAGATGCCAGCTCCAGTCAATATCAGCGAGCTCTGCATTCACACTATCCCAGACGGAAGATTCACACTATCCCAGAAGGATTTAAAGTCATATTCCGGCTTTGCAGGAACATTCCTGAAGTGGTATTGGGGTGCAGCAGGTTCCTCACGATAAGCAGCATCAGTAGGCAGTAGGAAGTGACTGAGGATCTGTGCGTGGTCAGATGCACCAAGAGGAGCAAGAGATGTAACAGAAAGTAGAAGGTGAGAATGATCCGTTAGCACAACGTCAATACACGATGTTGAGGCGTGGGAGGTAAAGTGTGTGGGGAATGTCACCATTTGCTCAAGGCCAAAACAAGAGAAGAGGTTACGGAACTCCCTTCCAGCACGATTCGTGGTGTCTCTAGGAGACCAGTCAGAGTGGCGAGCATTCAAGTCTCCTGCAAGTACAATTGCAGAATCGGGAAGGCTAGTATTGGACAGACAGTCCTCTAGGAGGTCACTAAATGCCTGGACTTGGGAGATGCTGTCTCCAGGGTGTCTGTAAACAGAGCATATGATGAGGGGGAGTGAGGGAAGGGTCACTGGCCGCAATTCAAGCCAAACCGCCTCCAGTCCACAGCGCTCAAGGTCCAAGCGGCGCTTAATGGACATGAACGACCTGTCAGCTACAAGAGTAGCAACACCGCCATAGCCTCTTGCTGGCAGGTTATCAGAGCTGGTCGTAGGTGGGCGGTCCAGGCGGTATGACGTGTAGCCTGGAATTGAGACGTCTATGGCAGCTGTCAGCCACGTTTCACATAGGCAGATTATGTCTGGAGAATACTGCTCACAGACGACTAAGCTCAGCTAGCTTATTTACTATGGAGCGGCAGTTAAGTGAGAGCACTGAGAAGGCCGATGATGAAGGTAATTAGGCAGGTTGATTAGGAGTTTTAGTAGTTTGTCGTCCAGAATCGGGAAGGAATGGTGGTGCAAGTGGAATATGACCAATAGATATAGAAGGATATGTAACGCAATGAGGGGAAGGGTGTGATGAACTTGCGTGGGGCACAAAGGGTTGGGCAAGAGGATTTAGCTGTTGGCTAGGTGACCGAGGACCCATCAAGTAAGGCCGAGCCAGTGGATTCAGCTGTTTGCTTCTCTTCAAGTTCTTTTCAGTTATGTGTGGATACGCACATGCATGGTCGTCGGAACTATTCCTTGAAATAATCACCTCGATCCATTTTACTACGTTTCAATGGTCCGAAGGTAGCAAATGGCAGGGGAAAATGGTTCCATTCTGCGAACTGAAATTGCAATGTTTGAAGCTCGTAACCACTAGGAACGGGTAAGGTGACCCCGAATGTATATTGCGGGTTGAGAAGGAGTATGCTGCGAATACCGCAGGCCTCGCCACCACTGCCGTTTCTGTGCTGCCTTCTTGATACATATTTATGTACACTGTATATCATGTGCACATTCACATGTCTGAAGGTTTGTGGTTTTTCATTAAAAAAAATAAATAAACCGGAAATCGTTTGTTCCAGGTTAAGTTAGCGATTTGCGAGCACTGACCAATTTACACCTGGAAATAGCCGCGAAGTGAATTTCAGTACAGTGGAGATTGGATGTAAGGACCTCGCATATAACGACAAATTGAGCAATGCAGATTTGTACAACTAACACTAACACACTAACAACAACACTACACTAAACACACGTACTTTGCTCAGACTTCCTCTTCAGTTTCACGCTGGCTGAAACCAGTGTACCTGATTGTACTATTCTCTTAGCTGAACCCAGTGCCAGGATCTTAGCTCACGAATGCTCAGACCTCACCTGTGGATGGCACTGCAAACGCGAATTCTAACGCAGTACCCGGCTTGTGCCTGCTTCTTTATGTTTAAATATAGCAGTGGAGTGGACAAGCCCCCGCTCGTCGAGCTGCTGATTGCGTCAGACCTACGGGTACTGAAAGGTCTGCTTCAGGTGAGGCCATATCAAACACAACGACATAGCGGCGCATAACCACATAGCAGCCAGTCCCTATGGTTTGTCCTGGCCATGTCACTTTTCGTGTCAACATTACACATATTTACAACATCCACAACAAGTTACAAATGAATTCAAACAAATAGACATCTTTCTTGTTCCTGCAGAACTGGCGGTTTGGAAAGGAGGAGTTCCGGAGTGTAATGCACGAGGCCTTGTCGGTGCACCTGGGTGCAAATTTCCGTGGCAAATTCAGCCTGGAAGAGGTACGTACCTGTCTTTGATTGTTCTCAGTAGTTTCTCATATTCTATCTTTTCTGCCGCCTGTCCGTGATGCTGCATCTTGAGTTCTTGATTTTTACCTTTTTTTTTCTTCAAATAGAGTGAGACTTGTTACACACCGTCATCAGGGGCCGTCCGAGGTTACCAATAGTAGTTCCAAAACGAAAAGTTTTCGTTTGGGGATGGGTGGGTTTAGGAGTTTCGTTTTGAAAATAATTATTGCATGCAGATGGAGAATGCCCAGTTACTTCTGGTGCCGAGAATTAACATCAATACTTTGTTGGAATTCGTATTACCTGCAGAAAAGGTAGGTAGGTGGGTGGGTGGGGCTGAAAAATACTAAACCTTTTCGTTTTCAAGATGCGCAGACTCCACTGCAGCCAATTCATTTTAAAATTCATTTTAAAAGATCGCTCAAAACACACACATATCCGGTCTCTGAACTGCAATTATTGAAAAAATTAAAATTAAATTCTCCATCAATATTTCGGCCCTGGGCCATCATCAGGATTGATAAGAAACAGACAGTGAGGTGAACCTACTATACATGTACATGCACATGTACGTGCTCATACTACATCCAGTGAGAAGATTACATCTATGGCGCGGAAATATCAGGTATGTTGAGAAAAACGATGAACTTACTTACTCTTACATTATTTTAAACATTGCAGCTGATGTGATAAAGCTGGTGTGTGAAACGGTGCAGAGGTGAGGCCAAACATATCACAGGGTACACTGTAGTAGCATTAGTGCCACTCAACAGCACTCACACAACCCACTACAACTAGCCAGTCATGTACATGCATTATACTACGGGACAAAAACGTGACAGCTCTACACCGTGTCGAGAAGCTTCCAACCACGGTCATTGTTGACAGCTGGACGGCGATGACGAATGTGGATAGCCTCACGAATACGACGGTTGACAAGTGACATTTCCCTTGTGAGGATGGATGGTGTGGTGAAAGGAATGAATGGTGTAGCGGTTGGGTGTTGATGCTGATGTGATGCGTAGTGTTGTCCCCAGGGCTTGAGTGGTGTGCATGCCCTTGCCTCGCGGTAGTGCTCCTGGAAACGCTCTCGCACACATCTTTCTGTCTCGCCGACATATTCCTCACCGCAAATGGAACAAAACATTGAGTAGACCATAATTCTGGGACATACACTCACCACTCTGCATACCCACATCACAAGCACGACACTCGACAGGCCTTCCCCTTCTCTTCTTCTTTCGGTAGACATCGCGTGGGAAACGACGATGATACTAACATATCTTTCAGGGACGAGCCAGACTGAAAGACGACACGGACATTCTTGCTATACGAACGAACAGCACGGCGAACAGCACGGGCCAGGCGATCATTGATGTATGGGAGTTTCACCATGGACGTGAATGTCTTCTTCTGGCGGTTGGGTGTTCGGCTGGGCATTGATGCGCTGTATTTGGATGCTTGTATGACAGGTTGCGGGTAGTCGTTTCCCTTCAGCAGCTTCTCACTCTTCTTCTCTCCTCGTTCTCGGCCCTCTTGCGTGGATGCGTTGCGGTGTGCCCTTCGGAACTGCTCTCGGGCAACCGATTCCTTTAACTCCACTGGCAGCGCTGACGAATACGACAGATGTACACCACTATGACTGGGCTTGACAAACAGCTCCGTTCGACAACACTGATCGACAAGTCAAGATAGCTGATTTTTGACGACCATGCTTTTCGTTTTGTAAAAACAATCGGTAACCCCGGACGGCCTGTTAGTTATTGTGCAAGGGGAAAAAATGCTCATATCAAGGAGCCGGAGGAAGGGGTTGGATGAGTGCACTCAAGATGACAACAAGCCGAACAGCAAATGGAGAATGTTGGATATGACGGAAAGATGATGGTACAAGGAAGACCATGGACGCTCATTCAGAAAGGGAGGGCGCTGCCCCCCCCCCCCCTCCTTTGGTTAGAGTGGGAAGATTCTACTGGGCAGAACGGTTGTAGGAAGACCATGGACGCTCATTCAGAAAGGGAGGGCACTGCCCCCCCCCTCCTTTGGTTAGAGTGGGAAGATTCTACTGGGCAGAACGGTTGTAGGGCGGCACAAATGAAAACGCAATGCAAGGCTGTGTGGAAAAAGGTGCGGTGGATATGGAAAATAGAACACAAAGCAATGCAAAAGAACACAATGGATGAAAAAATGTGGATGTAATGGTGGAATAGGTGTAGAAGGACCGTCCAAAGGTAAAATTGGTTACAAGCTTGTTTCGTTATCATTAGGGTAACTCATCAGACCAATGGCGGTTCTGTGTTGCGGGAACGGTCCCTTATCAGTAAAACAACTTAAAAGTGGAAGAACGACAATTGCAGAGGTGTGAATTTATACATGCTTGTGTGTAAGGTAGTTTGATAGATACTTTGTCTTTTTCCACGCAATGAAAGGTGCGGGGCCCAGTTTAGTGTCGAGTCGATGCTTAGTCCAGAGATGTTTCATCACCTTGTTTATGCCAGTGAGATGTTGAACGTGGCTATTAACAATCAGTTGTCTCAGCCGCTCTACACATTACCCACAATACTAGACCCACACGCCTTAAGCGCAGGGCGCGAAATAACGGTCGGACATCGGACAATTTCTGACCGTTTACAGTCAGTTTCCGGATGTTTTGTGCACATCCGGACAAAGTATCCGCGCACTTTTTTGCAAAGTGCAAAAAAGAAAAGGCATGGCAATCCTTTGTTTCGTAGTCATTAGTGATGTCGTCTGGCAAGAGAAAGCCAAGCACCGCTGATGCGGGTGCTCCTCTGGGAAAGAAGCCCAGAGGAGTCAAGACGACCACTTGTGACAAGTGGGTCGCCGAGTATGATAATTGATAGGGAGCTTTCAACTTCTGTTTGGCTGAGCTATGAGCGCAGTCCCTCAGATCGTAGCGTTGTCGAAAATTTGAAGTGTAAGATGTGTTCCCGTTTTGTTGATAAAATTCGCAGCAGCAAAAATTTTTCTGACTCCTTCGTTGTTGGCTCAAGGAACCTGAAAACGTCAGCCTTCACAGATCATGCTGCTTCTGAAATGCATCGCCATGAGGTGGCATTGTTTGGCAAGGAGCAGTCAAGCGGAAATCCAATAGAGTATGCGCCAATCGCTCGAGCCTTGTGCAAACTTGACGACGCAGCAGCAGAAAATTTGCATGTCCGGACATGTCCGGCCATTTTTGCAACTGGCAGGACATTGTGTCAGAGCACATTTTAATCCTTAGCGCATGCCCTGTAAGCGCAACATTACACCTCCATTGATTATTCCCTACCACCCTAGTCTCACCGGCATAAACAAATTGATGAAAAATCTCTGGACGGCTAAGCATAGACTCGACACTAAACTGGGCCCCGCACCTTTCATTGCGTGGAAAAAGACAAAGTATCTATCAAACTACCTTACACACAAGCATGTATAAATTCACACCTCTGCAATTGTCGTTCTTCCACTTTTAAATTTTTTTACTGATAAGGGACCGTTCCCGCAACACAGAACCGCCATTGGTCTGATGAGTTACCCTAATGATAACGAAACAAGCTTGTAACCAATTTTACCTTTGGACGGTCCTTCTACACCTATTCCACCATTACATCCACATTTTTTCATCCATTGTGTTCTTTTGCATTGCTTTGTGTTCTATTTTCCATATCCATCGCACCTTTTTCCACACAGCCTTGCATTGCGTTTTCATTTGTGCCGCCCTACAACCGTTCTGCCCAGCAGAATCTTCCAACCCTGTGATGACTGTCATTCTTTGAACGCTCACTGAATGCAATGGAGCTGCAATGTACGCCTTTGTTCTTGTATTTGGATGCGGTGTGTCTTTTCCTTAGATTGACCAGTTTTATGACCTAGTCAATCCATTGTTGGAAGACACAATATCATGGGTAAGGGCGCGATCGCCACGATGCATTTCAGTATCTGTCTTCAGCGGTTACTATTCTCGAGCACGCTTCACGTGTAGTTTCTCTAAATGGCTCCGCGGTTTATTCCTAATCCTTTGTGACATGCATAGTTTATAGGCTTATAGGCCTAGCACAAGATGAAACCCATAGAAGGATTTTCCTGATATGACACGGACTGGACGAGTTAGCATTCAGATAGGATGAGATGAATCGGAGGCCAACGGATCAGCCCAAGAGTATTCCAATGAAAGAACATACCCACAGCACAGTTTAATCATCAACAATAATTCCGTATTGGCATAATTGTATTGAGCTGAAGTCTGCTTGTTTTCAGATGCAAGGTCTTTTTGTCGTCTCCCTTTTTTTCATCCAAAAGAAAGGACAAAGGAACTACAAGTTACGCTATACTGTCCACTGACACCACCAGTTACATACGTTATATAACTTAGAACCTTCCAAGTTGGAAGGCTGTTGGAGTGCACATCCAAGATGTGCTAGAGCTGTTAGCCAGTTAGTTGTAGAACGTCTGTACCGTCTGTCAGTGTCGTGCAATGTTATCGCACGAGCTAATTGTTTAGTAACTGGTGGTGTTAGTGGACAGTATAGCGTAAGTTGTAGTTCCTTGGTCCTTTCTCTTTTGTATAAATTAAACCTTGGATCTCCATCCGAGTCCATTCCCTTTTTTTTCTTTTGGTATTTTCACCTACCGGCAGGAGCACATCTGTAGCTATGCATTTGAGCAGCATCTAGCAAAGGATGAGATCAGGGTAGTATCTCAAGTAAGTGCTAACTTACATAATAAATGTACCTGCGCCCTTTCAACCGGTTGCCTTTTGAATCTAATCTTTCACTACTACGACTCCAAGTATGTACACTTGTGCATTGACTGTCAGTGTGTTTCACTGTAAAGTTCGTTTGCTTTGCTTCTTTGAAGTTGAGTAATGACACAATGTTTGCCAGCTTCTTTATTCTACCTTTCACCTGTTCGTAAGGGAACATCCTCTGTGGGAGTACTCTTTGTGACTCCCCAGAATTTCTCTTCGTATTGCCGTGATATGTTGGAGCGTTGTAGTCCCGAAGTAAGATACCAACTATTCATTGTTGCTTTCACCTCTCCAAGCTACTTTTTGCTAACCATGGTTGAAAAATGCAAACCATATCACCAACACTCGAACCCAACCCATGTTTGCAATTGCTTTTAAAAGTCGTGCTGTACCGACACCTTGATTCTTGAGGGTGGTGGCGTTCTCCTCGGTGTGGAAACTCTGTCTGGCTGGGTCTCATGCAGACCACAAAGTTAAAGGGGAGGATACCCTAAAGTCAAATTGTTACCACTTGTAGTCTTCGGGGTGCTGAGTCGAATGGTCTTGGTCCGAGGAAGCTGAGGCGCTCCCTTCCTCCTTTATTTCCAATAGAACGCGCGCACTTCCACCGAAACTGGGTGCCTGCGCCCTACTAGATAGCGATTTGTATGGAAAAAGTCACTAAAAGCGCCGTTTTGGCTTATAAAAGCATGGATGACCGCGATTGGTCCATAATATTTTGTAGTCTTTTGGACGCTGAGTCGACTGGTTTTGGTCTGAAAAGGCACGGGTGAGTAAGCGGTCACGTGCTCATGCGTACACCAGTCACCTGGTCACCGTGCCTGGCACTGCCTGCAGGCTACACTTTTCACAGCGTCCATGTCACTCGAGTTGAACCTTTGAACTTTTGAGTTGAACCTTTGTGTGAAAGTTGTAGCCTGCAGGCACCGTGACCAGGTGACTGTGTACGCATGAGCACGTGACTGCTTACTCACCCGTGTTCGATTGGGAATACGGGCCGAACGCTACATCGCAGCCTTTTCGGACCAAAACCAGTTGACTCGGCATCTAAAAGACAACATCTGGGCTTATCGCGGGCATCCATACTTTTATAAGAACGAAACGGCGCTTTTAGTGACTTTTGCATACGAATCCACATCTAATGGGGCGCAGTCGCCCAGTTTCGGTGGAAGTGCGCAAGTTCGATTGGGAATAAAGGAGGAAGGGAGGGTCCCGGCTTCCTCGGACCAAGACCATTCGACTCAGCACCCCGAAGACTACAACTGGTGAAAATTTGATTTTAGGGTATACGTCCCCTTTAATTTTAGCTGTGGTTGGCGGAAGTGGTTGGAATTTTTGGATTTTGCACGTGGCAAGTTGTGATGGCTGCATTCTGATTGTTTGACTGAGCTGCATCTGGTGCATTCACTGTTCCTGAACATTTAGATACCGGAATGGGGAGAATTTACGCAGCTCATGCCGTAAGTTATTGGAGAATTGTCACAAGGACTGCAGTTTGATCTGGTTTGCAGGGGTATTGTGCTAATCCTGGGCCGAGATTTCAAGTACAGTCAAACCTCGTTAGAACGAACTTCAAGGGACTGAACACATTTGTTTGTCTTATCGGGAGTTCTTATTATCCAGATCTGACAAAAAATCGATATGCACATCAGATGGATTGTATTTACGTGAAGGTGCATGCTGTGGTACATGGGAAGCATGTTATTCTTAGCATAAGCCAGAAACAGGTAAGTACAATGACAAAGTGCAATGAATCACGACTGTGTCGAAAGTTCGTACAACGCACTGATTATTTTGTTAAAAACACGCTTGAAAACAATTAAGCGCTGTACGTACAATATGACCTCGACTATTGAAAAAAAAGAAGGAAAAAGGCAGCCAGCGCACGCGCACGCTCGAGGACCGAAAGTTCGTACTACATGTACATGACCACACTGACTTTGTTCAAATCACACTTGAAAATAGTTCGTCTTCGCGAAAGTTCGCTGTATACAGAAGTTCGTCGTAAACAAATAATTTTGACTTGAATTGATGCCTGGCCAACCATAGGATTGGCCTTAGTTTGTACTAATGGAAAGTTTGCCTTATCAGTGTTCGTCCTAACGAGGTTTGACTGTACTTCAAAAAGAAGTACCAATTAAGTAGATGTTCTTTTAAAGCCACACATTCATTTATTTATTTTATTTATTTATTTATTCAATATCTCCTGGCTCGTCGTAAGACTGCCAATATAACATGCCAAATGAAAGTCACAAACACACGGCGGGAAAGAGCTAATGGTTGAGACGGAAGTCCAGCAAATTTCTGAGTTTGATGTCACCCATTCAGCGCCGTGTAGTGGCCAGTAGTAGATGACACCAGGTAGTCTCTTGACCTGGGTTTACCTGTGCAGGGAAAATAACTGGTTGTGGTTCAGGTTACATAGTCAGTTGGCTGCTTTCTTGTTCTAAATCGGAATACCCATCCGTGCTCAAGCTCTAAAGAACACTGAAACTGGGGGCCGATTGGGAATGCGGAGGGGAAAAGCGCGGAAACGAGGACTGAGGTGGCTGAAAAAGGAAAATAGAAATGCATGAAAATGTAAGCCGGTCTCGTAAGGAAGAAAAGTAAATTCAGAAGACAAAAATAAGAGAAAAAGATGAAAGAAGGAAAGAGCTCATGCATTCCGTATTTTCACCGACGATCTGCCACTGATGGGCCTTCGAATTTAAAACTTTACATGTATACAACCAATGGACAATGTGAACCACTGACCTAGGACCTGGTGTTTTCACTGTACAAGTGAAAGAGATTGCCTGCTTTCAGATGGATCCTTACGGGGGTTAGGCGTTGCCCACCCTCTCAAAATGAAAGGAAAGTACCGGCGTATTTTCCGGAGTACACAACGCGCTGAAGTATAAGCCGCACCCCCATTTTTTTGCCACAAAATATAGACACACATAATTATACCCTATTTATCACCGTTATTTTGATCATGGGAGATGAGCATAAGCCGCACCCCTTTTTTGGCTTAATCTGGAGTGTTCAAAGTGCGAAGTGCACAAATATACTTGAAGTAACACAGAAGGCACATGCTCTGCACCGGACACGTCCCAGTTCGTTTCCTACTCAAGAGTTGCATGGCTGACTGGTGACTCTCTTCACAGTGTGCTTGTGTGTTCAATCCTGGGTGTTCATTCCTGGGTGTTTCTGCATAATCTGGCGTGTATGTATGTGTGTACATGGACTCGTCTGCAATGTTGTTGGCTGTGATCTGTTTCTACTGTTGATCAGCGAAGGCCGAGAAAGGGTAGCTGCCATAGTGCTGCACTGCGGCGGACAAAGACGACCACACTATATGATAGTCTCAAGGGTAAGTAGACTATATTATTGAGTTGCCATGCAGCAGTTCATTATGTTAAAGCTGCGTTTACACGACAACGCTGGGGATGAAAACGCAACTTGTTTAAATGTACATTCCACCAAATTTTCGGTCCAGTGAGCGATTGTAAAAGTGAAAAGTAGTATTTAATGTGTAAGTGGTTGCATTGGAGTTTACAGATAATTCAAAAAAGAGTAAAAACTTTCCGAACAAAGAGCCTTATTGACATTATTTTTTATTGACATACATGTATGTGCATGCATGACAATCTTCTTGGTTTTCTTGTTCCCACAGCCGGGTGTGATCACACGGCTTGATGCTAACTTTCGAGTTCAACAAACCAAGCAGGTAAGAGGGTTCTAATCCACTTCATGCGTCCCAGCACTGTGTGTATGTGCATGTCGGGTAGCTGGATGCTTCTCTGCAATCATACAGTCCAGGATAGGTAGCGGAATGCAGCAGTGGCATGCTAATGTGCATGATACACGTAGGTAGCTGGGCTTTGTGGGGAGATGCGATGACTCTCGAGAAGCCCTAGGTTGAATAAACCTTGCAGCAACCATAAACTATCCCAGCGAGGTGGGTAGGTCACCCATGATTCCGCAATATGATCCTATAGCACAGATCAGCGGCAAGGGACCTCTTTGTAAGTCGGAGTTAAAATAATCACAAATTTAATAATCTCCAGTGAATCCCAGGCATCTTCATGCTTGTTCAATGATCAGTAAGCTTGTGTGTAGTGGTTGCCGTTTTTGGGAGAAATGGCTCCTATAAACAGGGTCTGTTTTCGGTGTCTGTTACAGGGATCAAGATAGTGCGCAGCATGCGGGCTGAAATATTTCTCTGTGATAGGGATGATCAGGGATTATGGCCGTGTTAATCCTTCATTGTCACAGGTAGAGGAGCTGCTGCTGCCAAGAAAGACAATATGGGTCCACGATGCAGTTATAATGGGCACACTGCAGAAGATGGCTGTGGCTCTCAGCACCAAATGTGTATGTAAGAGCAGAGAATTCTCTTCCTATCACAATCTAGTACATGTACTGTATGGGTGGAACAGTCCTCATCTGACATGCCTGCACTGTAGGTGAACAGGTCACGATTCAGTCAAATAGGGAGTCATGTGTATTTGGAGTGACTTGCACATATTATCCGGCCTGGTTCAGTCAGGCACCCATCACCGCTTCTTTTTGACTGTCCAACTTCTTCAGGATAGGGTCATTACCTCCAACGGTTAAATGTGTCCATGAATACCTGGCCATGCATACCTGTCCACCATGCATATCGTATGGGCGAAAGAAGTATCCGAGTCGAGCAGTTTATGGTGAAGTGATCCTAAAGGAGGATTCTGTTTGCAGGTGTATGAACTAGGAGTACAACTAAACTGGTACATGTATGTGTACGTGTAGGGTCGTATCAGTGCTTGAGTGGTATGATGCCATACCCAGATGCAGTGCTTGTCGGTATCATTACTGTGTTCATATTTACACCTGCAGTGATATACGACATAGAAAGGGATGCCTTGTCAAAATCAGGCAGGCATCGTGTGCTCGGCTTTCCATTGATCCACCGAATCAGCGGCTTCACGGATAACGTCCTTACCAAGCTCTTCTTCTGGTAAGGTTCCGTTTTGTCATGGTGCCTGAAGTCTAATGCGGATTCGCAGGTACTTTGAGTGGCTATCAATGAAATCTAAAGCCAAGTTTTTGTTGCACACCCAACCCCTGGGTACTGTAGTTATGTGTCACTGTTGTCTTATGGTACCTCTCGGGTTTATCTCGTCGAAATGCGTGAAACATTTAAAAAATCCCGCTTTTATTGCTGGATCAAGCACAGGGAGATGTACAAACCCGGAAGAGGACACAGTATGCGAAAGCTCCGGTGATACGTGCCTCACGGTTTTGGGAAGAAATCACAGGAACTTCAGAGCGTGATGACACTTCAAGTTTTTGTTTGAACACAAAAAATGAGCGTTGATGATTCTGCCCTGGGTCACCCATTCATTCACCTACATGTATTTACACATTTTGTTATCACAGGCAAGACGAGGAACATGCCAAGAAATGCAAGCTGATCGTGTGTGATGATGGAGGGTTGGTGAGTGTGTTCCACTTCTACAATGCCTTCAACACTTTGCTCCTGACGGATACCGAGAAGTGGAGACAAAACATTGGTGAGTGCTATGGCAGTGCTCCATATGTGGCTCAGTAGATCAACATACCATCTCTTGATGTTGGTGAAGTGATGAAGCACTGAAATGTGCGTGGATATGGATGCCAGAGCAGGTTTCCATGGAAAATTTGACTTGTTGTAAAAAGGTTTTCCTTGCTTGAATCCTTCACATTGTGCATCTCAACGATGCTCATACATTTGCACTCCTACTGATTACAGGTCTACAAGTCTTACACCTGTTAGGATTGCCCCTAAATGGTTACCAGTATTACTGTCTTACTGATGCGGCATAAGTATCCTTGTTGACCCGGGTGTTTGTTTTTGCGCTCTCCAATTGTTTGTTGCTTCACTGGTTGTTGCTTACAGGTGCTGATCAGCGCACAGATGAAGTCAATGTACTTCTTTGTAATGGCAAGTTTGAGAAGTCTTGCGTCGACGCGAAGTTCAACCAGTTCCAACCACATGCTGAGCCTGCCAGGCATGGTAAAGCATGCAGTTACTTGTAATTCTACTAACCCACCACCCGCATTCATATAGTGCCTGTCATGGTAGTGATGTGCCCGGTACACTGTCCAGCAGGCCAGTGGGTGGATGCACCACCTCACAAACTCACTTCACACTACTACCTATCATTGCCCTGCCGCCCCGTTGTCTCCAGTCTTATGTTGACATTGAACCCTTCCCTCTCCGTTATCGCAGTAGGTCGGTGGACACGTGCATCCTCTGATTAAAATAAAACCCAGAAACAAACAAACAGCGCATTTTAGTACCTTTTAGAATACTATTCATACTACACATGGTTAACATTTCATACTACACATGGTTAACATTTCATACTACACATGGTTAACATTTCACACACATCACAGAAATCAGAGCACAGACAATGGATTTCCAACCAGTTCTAGTTTATCATTGCTAGTCGTCAGTGTGGCCGGTGTTTGGTGCATGTATCGTCATGCCAAACGATACGAAGACAATGAATTTATCGATCGCCTGCGTAAGATATGCCATTTTGTAGTGCGTCAGGGTAAAGAGGAATCAATTTCATCAATATGGTATATAGGCGTACTCATTACACAGACCCATGGCGTGCTGCTAAGTCTGCAAGTTGCACTATGAAGGTCAGGACCATTGTCCTTCCTTTACGTACCCTGTCTATATCAAGGCTGCGTGTCATCGCCTTTTGGGATATGTAGGCATCGGTGTGATCGTGTGTGCGTGTGCGTGTGTGTGTGTGTATGTGGTCATGTATGTGCATGTGCGAATGCAGCATCAGTTGGCACTTTCTTGTGCAAATGCAGTATTTTTTTGTTTTGCCACACGGTCACCACTCCTCAAATTCTTCTGCCGTTATCATCTGTTCACAACATGCACAGTTCTGTACCTGCCGTCCGTGAAGGCCTATATCACATGCCACCCCATTACCAAGGGTTCTATTGTCATAACCTACGCCAGGAGCAGAAGAAGGCAAGTACCTTTGGCTTCTCGGTCGTGTGTTCCTCCATCTGGTGGGCTTTTGTAACTTGTAGACAGTTGATGAGCATTTCACCAAACTTGGATTGTTAGCCGGATTCCCGGGATGGGCTTTGCTTGTGCAATTGTGCAATAGTTTTCCCTCGTCTGTCATTTCTGGCTATTCCATAACAACATTTTGAAGGGCAGAAATTGGGCCTAGCAGAAATCATCTACCATGAAGCCTACAAAGCAATGTCGGTATGCTTATACGTGGGAATGGATTGCTTTTCTTTTGGTATGGTCCCAATGTACATGTGGAGCAACGTTCCTTTCGGGCTGTAGTTCGGTCTTATATGGCACTGGGACACTACTACTTTGGAAGTGTATCACTAGACGGGAGTGTTTGGGGCTCAGTTGCTTAGCTCCTCTAGTTCCTCGTTCTGTACAGTCGGTAGAATGGTGAGAGCACTGGTCTGTGTGCAAGTTGGATTCACGTTGGAGACACCACTCCTCCCTAGGAAGTTTTTAGTACACCTGACTTTGCCTGGCTACCCTTGTGGGACTTAGTGCACTCACGGACTGGACATTGTTCTGCTTTGCATTGTATTCTTATTGCAGCAAACACATGAGAATATTGGGCGGGTGTGACGTCTTTGCGTATGACAATGCACACGGAATGCTAGGTAAGCGGCTGGTGTATATATTGAGATGTGCATGTGCTTGTTCCATTGAACCATGATTGTCACAATTCCCGGATAATGGACTGAGCAGGCAGACTGTAGGTCAAATGCTTTGTTGTAGTAAGTAAAATTGGGTCCACTGCCACAGTACTTATCTTGTTAGTGCATTTCTTCCTAAACTACTTGTGGCCAATAAATAGTTGAACAAATACCCCATGTTAAGTTACCATACTAAGTGGAGGGGGGGGGGGGGGGACTCGACATCTAGTAGAGTTGCTTACTTGTATGAAGGGGGGGGGGGGGGGAAGCAAGGTGATCCTGTAGCAGTATATGGACATGTGCAGGAAATTTGCGAGGCCGGTTCCACACTAAATGATTCAATACCGTTCTTATATCATTGCTACATCAGTGAATATGCTCAAAGCACATTGCTACTCTCCCCAGGGTGTCCTGTACTAGTACTTAAATACCGTATTTTCCACTATAAGCCGTTACCCCCATTTGTTTGCCACGAAATACAGTCATCTACCCTATTTATCACGGTTAATTTGATCATCGGAGTACATGTATAAGCCGCACCCCCCCCCCCCTTCTGGGGTAAAGTTAGTGTTCAAAGTGCGGTTTATCCTCCGATAATACGGTATATGGCAGTCCTGGTGTGAAGCACCCCATGGTTCTGATTTCTCGGTAGCGCTCAGTACAGTAACATCAATGTCTATATGCCATGGTGTCTGTGTGACTTTCTGCCCTGCACCGGAGACCAGCCACAGGAGGCTATGATGGCCATATACGCTTGTGGCGGCCTTTCCACTCGCCGGAACCGATCTGTGTAAGTACTCCTCTCACTGAGAACATAGCACGGCGATTGTTGTATTTTGCGATACAGCTTTCTATCCTCACAGGCACGGGGCATATACTTTATGTAATGATCTGCACTGTAGCTGGTCCAGGCTGCAAGGTTCCTCAACAACAGGTCAAATACCAGCTTTTCCTCTCACGAACATGGGTCTCATCGTTGTTGGTAGAGTCTACAGCGCTTGGTGTGTGGGTCATGTAGTTTCTGTAATGTACTAATGATCTGCACTGTAGCTGGTTCAGGCTGTAATGTACTAATGATGTGCACTGTAGCTGGTTCAGGCTGTAATGTACTAATGATCTGCACTGTAGCTGGTTCAGCCTCGGGGCTGCAAGGTTCCTCCAGGTCTAATACCTGTACATACATTTGACTTGTTCACTTGGTTGATCCCTGGGTCACTGCTGCTCACAGGAACACTGATGAATGTCTACCTCCTTTACCTCCTTGGGATTTGGCACAGTCCACTGAGCCTCATCATTCAGTACTGGTAGAGTCTACAGCGCTTGGTGGCCTCCAGAGCACACAATCAAATATCATCCAATGCTTTGCGGAGCTGGCGAGAGCCGTTCCATTGCTCTTTCACTAGCGGATAGACACAGCGTCAGAGCGCAGTCAACCAATGCAAGCCACAGATCACAACTGCAACAAGTACCAAGTACCCAGTGGGAAGAGCTGACGTGGTACATAGTCGCCTTGTGCTGCCGTGTTAATCTCTACCAGTGTGTTATATGATCCTCTTGGGTTGACTGCGGGCTCCCTGCTGCCTTAAAGGGGAAGTTAAGGCAAAAATTAAAATTTCACCAGTTGTAGTCTTCGGGGTGCTGAGTCGAATGGTCGTGGTCCGAGGAAGCTGAGACGCTCCCTTCCTACTTGAATCCCAATCGAACTCGCGCACTTCCACCGAAACTGGGTGACTGCGCCCTACTAGATGGGGATTTGTATGCAAAATGTCACTAAAAGCGCCATTTCGTTCTTATAAAAGCACGGATGATCGCGATTGGCCCATATGTTGTAGTCTTTTGGACGCTGAGTCAATTGGTTTTGGTCCGAAAAGGCTGCGACGCGGCGTTCCTCCTTTATTCCCAATCGAACATGGTTGAACAAGCGGTCACGTGCTCCTGCGTACACCAGTCACCTGGTCACCGTGCCTGCAGGGTACAACTTACTAGCCTGTTTGACCTTTTTTGGGTGCAGTCCTGTCACTCGAGTTGAACTCGAGTTGAACCTTGGTGTGAAAGTTGTCACCTGCTGGCGTGGTGACCAGGTGATTTGGGCACCCAGGAGCACGTGACCGCTTGTTCAACCATGTTCGATTGGGAATAAAGGAGGAACGCTGCATCGCAGCCTTTTCGGACCAAAACCAGTCGACTCAGCGTCCAAAAGACTACAACATATGGGCCAATCGCGGTCATCCGTGCTTTTATAAGAACGAAATGGCGCTTTTAGTGACATTTTGCATACAAATCCCCATCTAGTAGGGCGCAGTCACCCAGTTTCGGTGGAAGTGCGCGAGTTCGATTGGGATTTAAGTAGGAAGGGAGCGTCTCAGCTTCCTTGGACCACGACCATTCGACTCAGCACCCCGAAGACAACTGGTGAAATTTTAATTTTTGCCTTAACTTCCCCTTTAAGGCGAAAGACACTGGGGCTGCACCGGACTGGGCAAGTTCCCACCGCCAGATCTGCTGGCATTGATTGATGGTTGATATGCTCGCGTATGGTTCCGTGCCATTGCTGTTCAGAGCCAGGATGTGTACAGTGTATGTACATGTATGTCCTAGGCTAAGCCCACCGACAGGAACTGTCAGACTGCCATACATGTTACTGTCAAGCAGGAATGAAGGCAGGTATGCTATCCGAGAGCATCAGACCTCAGTAGTGTTGTTGCAATACTGGTGTTGGCAAACACGACATTCAGTGCTATCGTATAGGACTGGATACTCGCTTGTGTTCCTGAGGAGCCTTGGCATCAGCTGACACCATATTCTTATGCTCGATAGCCAGCACCCTCGATAGACCAGCATATTTTTCCATTTCCCTAGCGGCTCACACACCGCATGTGGCTGCTGTATGTGATGACATTCAAAGCAACACGACCTTTTTGTCTTCTCGAAGAGAACGATGGAATTCAGGCACACCATCGCTGCAGCCCACTGAGTAATGTTACTCACTGGTGCTCTAGTTGACGTTGCACATCAGTAGTTTATGCATAAAACAGTGGCAGTGAAATAGGGAAGCATTCAATTGAGAATAAGGATTGAATGACGGTCCGCATCTTTCCTAGATCGTTAGCACTATTCAGATTAGCGTGCCGAAGACATACAGGTTCTAGATGGCATCTTCGTCTATACTTCTGCGGTGAAACATAGTTAAGAAGAACATTGATATGACAATCTTTCGCTTTAGAAAACTCTCCCCAGCCTGTGTACAGTTACAGGAAGTGTGAAGAAGATATTGAACGATTTCTACTGGGACAAAACACCATTGCTCAGTGCTAAGAGCATTGCTGGCCTCAATTGAAGGTCCCTGGTTCGACCCCTATTGGCGACGGTAAACATTTTCTTCAGACTCCCCCCCAAACCCTCAAGTAATGGATATTTTAGAAGAACGCAACCATGTATGGATAAGAAGAATGATTGCGAACAAATTCCATCAGTCCTTTGGTATTCGGTATTACATTTTGGTATTTTGGTTTGACTATATAAGAACGAAGTGACCAGCAGGGTTCACTATTCCCATTATGTATGCCGCAAAAGTATGGGACCTTGTTCCAATTATCGCCTTACAAAACAGCCTTTGTTCGCACTCGGGGTGGTCGTTCGGGGTGGCACTCGGGGTGGTCGTTCGGGGTGGCACTCGGGGTGGTCGTTCGGGGTGGCACTCGGGGTGGTCGCTCGGGGTGGCACTCGGGGTGGTCGCTCAAAAACCAGGTTTCAGTGCACCTCCCCTTTTCCTGTTTACCAGTTTCAAGTTTTCGGGGAGAGGATAATGGATTCCGTTTTGAATATGATTCTCAACACTACCGTAATTTACCGGTTGTAAGTCGACCCCGGTTATAGGTCGACCCCCGTATCCGGAGGTCTCAATTCTGGTTTTTAAAGTTTTCACCCAACGAAGCACTACTAACCACTCCCTGCCACTAACACATGAACAGATCATGGAAACATTTCTTATTGGAGGGTATAATGTCCCAATTCTTGAAAAAAGGCCAATAAACTGGCAAAAAATGTGTACACATGGTGCACTCGTGCATGCAGTGCAGGTCATTTTTTGTAAGATACAGATAGTTCCCGGTTATAAGTCGAATCCCGGTTGTAAGTCGATCCACAACCTTTCTCCTTCTATTTTTAGTCGTAAAAGGTCGACTTACAACCGGAAAAATATGGCATGTGTTTTTGTTTGTCTGTTTCAAGATAATGAAAGGACATATCAAACCAGTAATACAACTACTGATGTTGACGAACCCAGCGGATTTTCTTCTCAGCCTGTGCAGAGATGCGGTGAGGTCGGTGTGCGTGTGTGAAAGTGTGTGGTTCCCCTATTATTGCAGATTGACTATGCATAATGCATTGATGTGAATGGAATCCATGCATGAGTAATGTTCACCTCCTTTCCAGTATCTGTCCATTAGTTAGAACAGCTCATTCTCCTTCTAGTATACGTATATCCGGTGCTGTTCGTTGCTGTTTACACTGCAGGTAATTCGGGTATGGGATATGCTCGGCCACTCGTGTATCCAAGTGCTGCAAGCATTTCCTCTGGTCAAGGATGACTTCTGTAAGTCATGTCGTGCCGTTTCAATAGCCACTGAATTGGCACACATTACACGCAGAGTGAAACCCAGTCACCGAAGTAAGAAGAACACTGTTAAGACCAACTTTTTTGCTTTGGAAGAACTAGATTTCGTATTGAATACTCAATCTCCGGACAACAGCTGTTTCGACCATACTATGTCTCCTTAGTGGAGCTCAGAACTACTGGCCGGACTGATGGCAATGAGGTCCAATGAACAACAAAGCATTTTTAGACCTTTTAAACAGTCAGAGTGCTCTAACTGCATCAAACACAGCGAGTGCACCAGGGCAGGCAACTTCAACGCTAACCGGAAAAGAGTGCTCAACCAAGCAGAGGCGAGAGAGTGTATTACTCGCTGGATAAATCACTGGGTATTCACTGTGTATTCACTGGGTGCAAATTCCGTCGGTGCGAGCAAATACCCTCGATCCCTTGGTGTTCGTCCCACACCTGCTTACACTTAAATTATAGAACTCATTTCTCTCATACGCCTCTGTTCGCTTCTCAATTCTGTGTGAAAGACAACTGTTTGATGCTCCACGACACTATCCACGACCGATTGGTGTTCTCTTTTGATGAAAAGGTAGGTCAACTTTGGTGTGAATTTACTAGCCACCTTACGAATATGTGCAAGGTTGCTACTCTGGTTGTCTTTGCTGGTTGGTACTAAAGAGTTCCTGCTGCGGTGATTTACTTGCTTGCTTCGCACCAGTTACCCGTAAAGTGGCGTTTCAGGTGATAGACATGTATATGCCACCAGAAACGAGGGAATTCGTGTGTTGCCAAGTCCTGAACTCGGACTACTCTGGGTGGTGGTGGTGGTGGTGGGGGGATTGGATGGAGTCATTTTGAAATGACAGCTTCCTTGCTTGTAACTTTTGCGGTAGCATTGCTGTGCCTTGCTTCTGCGGTAGCATTGCTGTGCCTTGCTTCTGCGGTAGCATTGCTGTGCCTTGCTTCTGCGGAAGCATTGCTGTGCCTTGCTTCTGCGGTAGCATTGCTGTGCCTTGCTTCTGCGGTAGCATTGCTGTGCCTTGCTTCTGCGGTAGCATTGCTGTGCCTTGCTTCTGCGGTAGCATTGCTGTACCTTGCTTCCACTGTAGCATTTCTTGATTCCACAATTGCGTTGCTGTGTCTTGCTTCTCCTAGAGTATTGCTGTGCCTTGCTGTATGTCTAGATGTATCATGTTCGCCTGGCTGGCCCCAGGGATCTTGGACCACGCAGTCATGCGGCAACAGTGACTGGTTGTGTGTACAAGCAGTCCACCGAACAGGTAAGCATTGTGCTGCATGTGTGCTGCATTCAGCACACCAAGCCACGCAGCCTACCCGATTGTCTGACCCTGTGAACGCACCAGTCATTCTAGCCGATTACCTGAGCTGTGTGACGTCGGTGGCAAGTGGCCAGTTTTTTGTCGCCAGTCGTATCTGATGTGATGTTATGCGACATGCAACACGAGTACAGTGCTGTTCATTTAGATGCAGCCTCCAATGACTTGCCGAGCACTGGACACCGCACCTCCTTGCTAGTTCAGTGAGCACTGGTCCGTGCACTGGACAGAGATGACAACCCATACCCTCACATAATCGGATTTCATTGAGCAGTGCTGTAGCTTGCGTGACACTGATGTGTAGGGGACAGTACAATGCATCTGCATGACGTTGTGTACGAGCCGATGTAATACATGATCTGCATGGTGCCAAGTAGGCCTCTCTGTTCACTACCAGCTAAGTATAAGTACAGTCGTCCCTCTCTAATCCGGCACTTTATAATCCAGCACCCTCGATAAACCAGCACAATTTTCAGTAGCCAAAATGTCCTCTTCATGCACATTGCAGCAGTAAATCAGATTTGTTAATCCAGCACCCTCCCTAATCCAGCAGATTTTCGTGGCACAAATGGTGCCGGATTATAGAGGGACCACTGTATTGAAGTATTTTCACAGTGCTTGTAGTTGCACTGATGAGGTGTCATTGGCCGAAACAGTTCGCTGTCTGCGATTTAAGAGTATCAAGTAGTCTTCAGAACCCCCCCGTAATTCTCATATGAAGCTGCAGCAAGAGTCTACATTCGCTTTTCGGCGGTGATAACCAATGCATGCGTTCTTCATGGGTTTGCACAGCTTATAACCGCCGCGTGGGATTCATCAATTAGCTTCTGGGCTATATCAAGCGGTCAGCGTGTACACAAGGTGAGCAGTTCCCTTTGCAGTGCAACATGTACTAATCATGGCTATCAGATGACAAGTACAAAGACTGTGTGCAGGGTTCAATCGAATAACACCGTACATACACGATATGCATGGAACACCAGTCGATTTAGAGGTAACATGCAGTGGTGTTTGTGTATTAATGTTTGGCCAACACTTTGGGTGATGTGTGTCAAGTCTCACACTTTGGGTGATGTGTGTCAAGTCTCACACTTTGGGTGATGTGTGTCAAGTCTCACACTTTGGGTGATGTGTGTCAAGTCTCACACTTTGGGTGATGTGTGTCAAGTCTCACACTTTGGGTGATGTGTGTCAAGTCTCACACTTTGGGTGATGTGTGTCAAGTCTCACACTTTGGGTGATGTGTGTCAAGTCTCACACTTTGGGTGATGTGTGTCAAGTCTCACACTTTGGGTGATGTGTGTCAAGTCTCACACTTTGGGTGATGTGTGTCAAGTCTCACACTTTGGGTGATGTGTGTCAAGTCTCACACTTTGGGTGATGTGTGTCAAGTCTCACACTTTGGGTGATGTGTGTCAAGTCTCACACTTTGGGTGATGTGTGTCAAGTCTCACACTTTGGGTGATGTGTGTCAAGTCTCACACTTTGGGTGATGTGTGTCAAGTCTCACACTTTGGGTGATGTGTGTCAAGTCTCACACTTTGGGTGATGTGTGTCAAGTCTCACACTTTGGGTGATGTGTGTCAAGTCTCACACTTTGGGTGATGTGTGTCAAGTCTCACACTTTGGGTGATGTGTGTCAAGTCTCACACTTTGGGTGATGTGTGTCAAGTCTCACACTTTGGGTGATGTGTGTCAAGTCTCACACTTTGGGTGATGTGTGTCAAGTCTCACACTTTGGGTGATGTGTGTCAAGTCTCACACTTTGGGTGATGTGTGTCAAGTCTCACACTTTGGGTGATGTGTGTCAAGTCTCACACTTTGGGTGATGTGTGTCAAGTCTCACACTTTGGGTGATGTGTGTCAAGTCTCACACTTTGGGTGATGTGTGTCAAGTCTCACACTTTGGGTGATGTGTGTCAAGTCTCACACTTTGGGTGATGTGTGTCAAGTCTCACACTTTGGGTGATGTGTGTCAAGTCTCACACTTTGGGTGATGTGTGTCAAGTCTCACACTTTGGGTGATGTGTGTCAAGTCTCACACTTTGGGTGATGTGTGTCAAGTCTCACACTTTGGGTGATGTGTGTCAAGTCTCACACTTTGGGTGATGTGTGTCAAGTCTCACACTTTGGGTGATGTGTGTCAAGTCTCACACTTTGGGTGATGTGTGTCAAGTCTCACACTTTGGGTGATGTGTGTCAAGTCTCACACTTTGGGTGATGTGTGTCAAGTCTCACACTTTGGGTGATGTGTGTCAAGTCTCACACTTTGGGTGATGTGTGTCAAGTCTCACACTTTGGGTGATGTGTGTCAAGTCTCACACTTTGGGTGATGTGTGTCAAGTCTCACACTTTGGGTGATGTGTGTCAAGTCTCACACTTTGGGTGATGTGTGTCAAGTCTCACACTTTGGGTGATGTGTGTCAAGTCTCACACTTTGGGTGATGTGTGTCAAGTCTCACACTTTGGGTGATGTGTGTCAAGTCTCACACTTTGGGTGATGTGTGTCAAGTCTCACACTTTGGGTGATGTGTGTCAAGTCTCACACTTTGGGTGATGTGTGTCAAGTCTCACACTTTGGGTGATGTGTGTCAAGTCTCACACTTTGGGTGATGTGTGTCAAGTCTCACACTTTGGGTGATGTGTGTCAAGTCTCACACTTTGGGTGATGTGTGTCAAGTCTCACACTTTGGGTGATGTGTGTCAAGTCTCACACTTTGGGTGATGTGTGTCAAGTCTCACACTTTGGGTGATGTGTGTCAAGTCTCACACTTTGGGTGATGTGTGTCAAGTCTCACACTTTGGGTGATGTGTGTCAAGTCTCACACTTTGGGTGATGTGTGTCAAGTCTCACACTTTGGGTGATGTGTGTCAAGTCTCACACTTTGGGTGATGTGTGTCAAGTCTCACACTTTGGGTGATGTGTGTCAAGTCTCACACTTTGGGTGATGTGTGTCAAGTCTCACACTTTGGGTGATGTGTGTCAAGTCTCACACTTTGGGTGATGTGTGTCAAGTCTCACACTTTGGGTGATGCGTGTCAAGTCTCACACTTTGGGTGATGTGTGTCAAGTCTCAATTGGATACGATTTTGTGGACCGTACCGAACCAATACACATAGTCCTTAGCAAGCGCATCCTGCTCTTGTTCCAAGTACAAGTGTCTGTAGGGTGTCGTGGTATTCCAAATTCTGACATGCATGCAGATGGAAGGCTGTCATCGCAAGGCTGCCATCACAAGCCTGGCATTGAGCGTCAATGAAAAGTTTCTGATATCTGGTGGAGATGATCGCATCATCAAAGTAAGAGCTTTCAATATGCTTCTTTCCCCACAGTGATGTAAGCAAAACTCTGGAGCAGGGTTGATGCTCGTACTTGTAGCATAGCAGTTCTAACAGGATTTTATAAATATAGTCAACACCGATTACAGTGTGATATCCAGCTCATAATGGCTAGACTATGTAGAGTGTTAGAGTTGGGATTAGGATTGAGATTACAGCTGACCAAGTTATCCCCCCCCCCCCCTCACCCCGACCCCGCCCCACCCCGGCCTCACTTTGAGGATAAATTGAAAACATTTGAGACCCGAGAAATTGCTGTGAGAAAGTGTTTCAGCAAATCCAATGTTATCACACAATCAAGAAAGTCGATTAATGTATTGCTTCGACTGTACAGCGCTGACATGAGCACCACTGTGCTGTGATTCTTTTTTCTATTGTATTAGCTAGCTAGGCTTGTGACTGGCTGATATATCTTGTGGTCATAAGACCATTGCATGCAGTGCAAATTCGCATCATTTAACTTAGTATGCTGTTTTTGTTCACACTGTCGCGTGCCTGTCAGGTCTGGGATGTTAGCACATACGGCATTGTTCATGCTTTTGACCCGGAGCACTGTGTTTGCGGCGGGGCTGTGAACTCACTAATTGCCATGCAGGGCAAGGTCATCGCTGTCGGCTGGGCAAGGCAAGGAGCTAACATGTCATGTCCTTCATGATAGATTTTATTTTCTATTCAACAATGTTGTTGATATTTGGTTAGCGCAGAAATCTGGGGTTGGTCTTTCTAAACAGGTCAAGGTATGTGTTGATGTATGATATGGGGGATGAGGTGATCGGTTTTTCAACGGTGGGTAAGTGGGCTTTCATAAACAGGTCTGAATGCATGTTGAAGCAAGGTCTGGGGTCTGACGTGAGTGGTCTCTTAAACAGGTAGTCTCCTATTCCGGTGGTCACACAGGTTTTAGTATAATGTTCGTCAGGGAGTCAGAGCATTTTGGAAGATGACATATCTCAATATCCGAAATGATGTTCGGTTAACCCCAAATCATGAGAGCCTGAGTGGAATTGGCGCATACTGGCTCATGTTGCCAACCACTGGTGGATGCCCACATGAGTAGCATCAGCCGAGTCCGAAATAGGATTTGACTTGTCAACCTTTTCCATCGAATTTTGCAAAGTTCAACTGTGGTTTTGACTCTCAAACCCAGTTTCCGTTGAAGCTTTCAAAAATTCAAAACACTTTAATATCTATACTATTACAGTGTGATTTTCTGGCTATGCGCTTCCTGTATTAGCACCGTCCCATGGAGGTTGCATTGTGAGTGACCCCCCCCCCCCCCTCCAGATATGGTCGTCTTTGCATACGGAAAATTGCTGACAGACTCCGGCCTGTTGTTCTTTCAGATTTCTCACGCAGTACGAAGTAAATAGCTGCTCAAGTTTTGTGATACACCCCACCTTTCTGGACAGTGCAAATGTAAGTTAGTGTTTTCCTGGCAGCATCCTGCTGTGCGTTAGGTTTTGATGTACGCTTGAAGCGCTTTTACGATTGTTTCTTCTGTACATGTAAAGGTGAAAGAAGGAGTATTGCCCCGTAAAGTACTGCATTAGCGCGCCACCATTCACCACTCCCTTTTGTGGTCGTGTTTGGAGGTGATGTCCTGTCTCCTGTCTGTACCGTACCGGGCCCACATTGCACACTCTGCAGTCAATACGTACTCAGTTCACATTTGAGCTCCACACAAGAACATGCTAAGTGTGAACTTAGTACACAAGGGTTCTCAAACCGTACAAACTTGTTGCACTCTGCCCTTTCCCTGGCTGCATAATCTAGGTGGGGCACTCTCGCGAGACGGGGCGTTCTCGCGGTACATTTCGGTAATTGGAATTATCTTGCTCTTACCTTCTGGAGTTTCTATTTGCCAATGCATGAAGTTTTGAAGCCACCAAGGGTCTGCACAAAAACAATGAAAATCATGTGTGAGAGGTAAGGCCTTGTACATGAGAAATTGGTGGTCACGTTTCTCCCTGTTGTATGTGCCTTGCTCTATTGTCAGTGTCTGCTCCAGCGCCGGGTGAGCCGGGTTTATCCACCCGGTTGGGCGGCGCTTGGACCCGGTTGAAAATATAGTACCGGGTCACCTGTGACCCGGTTGGTACTTTACACTTTCGAACTTTGAAAGGACTGACTACATGGCTTATTATTCAGTATTATTATTATAGACAACACCTCATGGCATGAAAAGAAAATCAGCCAGTACGGGAGATGTGGGTGTTAACCAACCATGGTGAATAAAAGAAGAAAAGAAGAAATGTAATGGTCAAGACGGAGAAGCATGGGAGGGACAGGTGATGGTGAATCTAGTGAGCAGATTTAAATGCGTCCAGGGTACTGGCGTTGCGCGTAGTACCGGGCAGCGCAAGCCAAGCAGAGTAGGCAACAAAGAGTGGAGAGTGTACAAGGGAGGACGTTTTAGCCAAGGGGAGGGCAACAGAGCATCTTGTCTGGGAGCCATCTATGATTCGGCACCAGTTATACACGCTAAGATGGGGAGGATGTAGAGCTAGTTTAAATTTGTGAGCAAAAGTGAAAATTAATTTTTGACGGTGGGTCGACAGTGGGCAAGCATTTGCAAGGACATACAGGGAAGCAGAAGAGTAGAGAGGGGGTAGACTAAACAGGATACGAAGCATTTTTCTATGGTGGATTTCGAGACGCTCAGCGAGAACCGAGGACAAGCCACACCAGCGTACATGAAAAGAGGCAGGATGTACAGTTTGTAAAGCTTGTATGTGTCAGATACTTCTTCTTTCGTAATTTTCTAATTCCTGTCCTCTCTTTCTAAATGCGGCTTATCCATTCGCCTTTATATTATTAGGCCTAGTTCCCGTTTATTGTCCGAATTAAAATAAACCAACCAACCAGTTAAATCATGTGACTCGGCTGGTGAGACAGCGCCAGGTACACGTGTACCCGGCTCTGACCCGGTTGAAATGGTTGCGCCAGATACACGTGTACCCGGCTGTCCTACAATCCTAGAGCAGACACTGATTGTGTCTGACTGCACTGCACTGCAGGGACACAACACATACATCTGCCGGGCGGTGGTCGTCTCCAAGGCACACATTGTCACCGTGTCCTTCAATCTGGAGATCATAGTGTGGAATCTCCGCACCGGAGCGGTCGTGTCACGCATCAACTGCATGAGTGAGTCATCACAGCGGGTGCGGCACACCTCACAGCATGGCCGCAAGGACAACGTGCAGGGCAAAATCAGGACAGGACCAGCAACTCTCCTGAAAATGTTCCCGTTTTCCGTTCATACCACCAGTAAGGGTGTCGCTAGTAATATGAGCATGCCTAACAGCCTGTCTACAGCGCAGGAAATCTATGAAGGAGATCAGTCGGCTAAAGTAAGGAGCAGGGGCACTGCACAGAGCAGGGCCACTGCACAGAGAGGCCGAGCATCAGCCTTCCGTCGTCAACCTCGTGTGCCCAGGCGTCCACTAATTCTACAGGATCCAAAGGACAGACTCACAATGGCGGGTCTCCGCGGTTCTCCTCGACGCTCCGACCAACTCAGTAAGGGCCAGGTGAGCGCGATACTGCAGGATTGGCTATGGCACCAGGTGACATGTTGTTTACAATGGATGGTTTTATGTGTGTGAGTGTGGGGTGGGGGTGTTTGTGTGTGTACGTTTGCGTGTGTGTAAGTTATGTAAGTTCTTTCATGCATGCCCATGTGCCTGTGTGAGAGAGTGCAGTGCTCGCCGATGGTACTAAACGTGTCAGTGCAGGTTTGTCTTTGGAAGACGGAACACCAGGTTTCCTTACCTGATCAATCTTTTGTCTTTTGCAAGCTTCTGTAGGATATTTGTCTGATGTACCTTGCTGTAGTTAAATTATGTTATCGCCCTTTTGTCTATTGTAACTACTTGTACGTGGCAGAGGAGGTTAGTACAGAACATCTCAGAGCGTGAGTACATGCTGGATGCTGAGGCAATGGGAAAGGTGGGCAGCAACGATGGACACTACTGCTCATCTAAACAGGTATTTGTGGTTTCTGTAGCAGAACAAGAGAGTGCTTCTGCTAAGAATAGACCAAGTGAATGTACTGGTGTGCTGAACCATGACTCAATGTGTGCTGCCCAATGCCACATCTGGTTTATACTGTGACTCTTCAGGCGACAACAAAATGATAATTTTTTCAAGAAACATCGGAGTGGCAACTCAAGTCTCAGGTGTCCATATTTGAATTGAATGTATATACAAAATAGAACTATGAAGTACAAGTAGACAGTCTTGTACTCTTCTCCTCCAGAATTTCACGATTATTATAGTATTGATGCCCAGTCTTGGGTACTCTTTACAAGTATTTGAACCCATGAAAGATTCCTTTGTCATAAACGCATTTTGAAGTTGCCTTTACCGTTACAAGGAACGTACTTCAGTGCACGATGATGATGATGATGATGATGATGATGATGATGATGATGATGATGATGAATTTCAGTTTAGCAGCTGACTGACTTAAAAGGTGATTATATTCTGCATGATAAAATGCTTTTGAATTGCGTTTGCACAATGGTATATTGGTGATTGTTTTCTACCCACAGCACATTGACGCCTTTCGAGTATGCTGCGCGATCTACTTGGAGGGTCGCAAGGGTACCCACGCTAACCTTGTCACATCTGGTCATGATAGACATGTACGTAAGAATATGCTGGTACAGAGACAGTCACAGGTTTGCTTGTCTGTGCTGGTACAAATACAGAGCTGTTTAAAACTTCTTTGCAGAAGTGAAGAGCTCAGTTTTTAGCCCTATGGGGTTAGTTCAGAGCTGTTTACCTCCATTGGGCCAGTGCAGGGCTATTTAGCGCCACTGCAGATGTGCGTGCAGAGCTCGGTTTAACAGCTCTGCACAAGTGCAGAGCTGTCAGCATCTTATTCAAGACTTGAAGTGCACTATTGACATGAGTAGTGGGCGATAGGTACAACGGTTGAGATTGGACTGCGATGGCATTCCCAGTGCCCATGTGTTGTTCCTGCATGTAGAAGTTTGATTGTTTTTTAAAAGCATCATCCAAGATCACTGCATGTATTTCTGTGTGTGGTTGATGGATAATGGTGATGATAGTGGCACTAGGAAGAATGAAGCTCTGTAAACTAGCGAAGCTCATGACGTCTATTTTTCGCATTGATTTTCTTTTCCATTACAGGTGTACTTCTGGAACTTGATCACAGGGAGATGTCAAACAAAGTTTTGTCCCTTCCCTGAAGGTGAGGCTAGAAAGGCACAATAGCATTTCTCAGAATTAACCAGGTTAGCTCTACAGTACAAGCGAGTATTTTGCAGAAACCTGTGACTGGACGCATCTCCTTCTTCACGTCCAAATTTCAGAAGTCCACCTTCTTTCTTGTCGTCATTGCCCAATGGTCTCCTTCCGTCTGTTCCTGACTCGTGCAGTCCTGTTGTGTGTGTGTGGTTGACATCTTTTGTGCTGTGTCTTCTCGTCCAGTGGGAGGAAATGGGTTTGTATTGTGCGCCGGCAGTCCAGTTGGCAGGTATTTGGCCACGGCGAACGACAATGGCGATGTGATTCTATGGAGTTTGCACCAGTATGCAACTGTGAAGAAGCTTTCCGACCTGTTCTCCAGGCCCCACACCGAGGATGTGGCACCAAGTAAGACAGTCAATGTTTAGTGCTGCACTAGGCAATCCTGTAGACCTCTTACAATGGGAAATATGGGAAATACAAAATACTCCACCTCCCACTGCAATACACATTCATTTTAGGTCTATTAGGGTGATGGCCTAGCTTTGCTAGGCACATTGGGTGCAGTATAGATCCTCTATGTCCGCAGACTGTATCCTCATTATTTTCATACTCAGTTCAGAGTTAGTCGAAATGGTGATTTCAAAACATGCAAATGAATTTGCAGCCTGGAATATGTGAGGCAGTCGTGCCTGCAAAGCTAGCCACGGTTACCCATTCCAGGAGTCATTTTGAATGTGTCTTTGTATGCAGAGCACACATTCTGTGTAAAATGCTCTGCATTCAGCGCATCAAGCACTTGCAGCTGTCCATGCACTTGTGCTTGAATGTTTGCAGAGCGACATGTGGCATGGAGGGCTCACGGTGAGGAGATCTCCTCCCTTCTGTTTGTGCGCCACATTTACAGCCCACTGCTAGTTACGGCTAGTGTGAGTGGTGTAGTGGGGCTGTGGAACGTCTCGGGAGAGAGCATTGGGCTCTTTGGCCAGGTGGGTAGTAAAGGCTATTCGAGAGAGAGAGAGAGAGAGAGAGAGAGAGAGAGAGAGAGAGAGAGAGAGAGAGAGAAAGAGAGAGTGTGTGTGTGTGTGTGTGTGTGTGTGCGCACGTGCATGCGCATGTGTGTGTGCGTGTGTGTGGGAGTATGACCTCCCCCCCCCCCCCCACATGAACTTCATGTGCCACTCTTGAGTCTTAGCCTGGCTGCAACTACCTCACATTCACTTAGCCTGGCTGCAACTACCTCACCGTCTTAGCCTGGTTGCAACTACCTCACATTCATTTCATGTGCCCTTCTTTGAACCTCCTGCTAGAAAGGTTTTAGCAATTAGGCACAATATAGCTGATAGTCTTTGTGTTCTACATGTAGTCAAGTTGGCATACTAACTGAACTGTATTCCTTTTGAAGCTGAATTGATTCATTACTACACTGGTTGTAGCAGCTGTGTGAACGGCAGAGTGCTTCAGGTGTAACCTGATCAAGAGGCCACCTGGTGAGTTCAGTCGCCACTCGGTGTACAAGAAGAGTGAAGAAAAGAATGCTGTTCCTTGGCACCGCATGTGTTCAAGGCATACACTTGTTTCTGAGACTGTCCACATTCCCAAAACAATGATAGACTGGTCAGTGAGCAGCGAGATCTTTCACCTGACGTCATGTTGAAGTTCCATTTTCGTTATCTCATCTCCTGCACAGAAACTCCATTGGGATCTGGAGAAGAGAGTCACCGCAACATACAAGAGGACACTGGCCTATGCTCGGGGGAACGTACGAGAATTATCTCCTAGTAATCGTAAGGCGTACACGGTAACACTAAAACCAGCCAGCGGCACTTTCCGGTCAGACTATACAGACCAGCAAAACAAACACGTGACCTCTGCTGCTAATGGCAGATTTCCTTCTGGCCCAAAGTTGGCATTTGGCAATGCTGGATCCTCTGATGCCAACACAACCTCAGCAAATGATAGGAAGAAGCAGCAACCTAGCAATCAAAAGTCAACTGCCAATGGGGTGTCGAAGCCATCATCTGACAGAACTAAGGCATGTGGCACTGAAAGACAACCGGTTTGTGCAGGACAGCAATCTAGTTCTGCAAAACAACCGTCCACTGCTGAGAAACCATCGACTCGTAATCGTAGTGGCCAGCCACCGACTGTGGGCCAGCAATCCTCTCCAGGCAATCGCAGGCCATCTGCTGCTAGTATACCAGTATCACCTGCAAGCCACACTCAGTCCTCATCACACTCATCTCATGCTCATCAACACCAGCCAACTGGTCAACGATCAGCAGACAATATCCAGATACAGGATGGTGGAAAGCAGAGCCGTGGTTTAGGTACCAAACCACAGCCAGACAACCGCAGATTACCTGCCACTGGTGTTACAAGAAAGGCATCCTCAAGCCTCCTTAGGTCATCTGATGGTGGACACCCTACTTACAAGCAGAATCAAATGTTTAGAGCACGTCGACAATCGGTCTTAAAAGAAACCCCGGCCGTCGAACGTCTGTCATCTGTGCAGCGAAGTCAAAGTTCCATGGAGCCAATTTCGGATGCACAGAAACTGCTGGTATACGTGGGTTCTAAATCAGCGATGGCGAGGAGGAGTTATGAAAAGTCACCAGAAAAGGTAGGTCCAATGCAACAATCCTGTATCCGACAACAAGCCTTGGGAATGTTCTCCCATCTGGATATCTGGATAACTAGGTTTCATTTTGCCAAGGTTTCAGAATTAAGAAGAAACATGCACATTTCCAAATTCCAACCAGTTCAGGAAGTGCTTTACAACCCGTCTTAACCATCACTGTGAGCACCTACTGTAAATATACAAAATTTCGGCGCTGCAAAATTTCGGCACTTCACGATTTTTGACATTTCGGCGGCGATTTATTTTCGGCGTGGGGTAGAGGGCATGGTATAGTGCGACAGATACTGTGAAAAATTTCATCGGCGTTTTAATTTAGGCGTTTTGGGTCGGTGCCGAATATAGCCGAAATTAAATAGCTGCCGAAAATTTGTATATTTACAGTCTTCTACTTTCTCCAAATCACATGTGTACAATCATGTTCTATCCCCTTTTACTCTTCTTCTCTCCTTCTCTGTCTCTGTCTCTGTCTCTCCTTCTCTCTGTCTCTGTTGCTGTCGCTTTTTCTATGCCTCTCCCCTCCACAACACACTCTCCCATTTCTTCTATGCCGTCTAATCAGTCCTCTGTCTGTCTGTACTGCAATTGGTTTGATTGTGTGTGTGTGTGTGTGTGTGTGTCTCTATCATCGCGGCATGATTTATATACACTCCAGTGGTTCAGTGTTTGGCTATTCTGGGGTTGATCCATGTTCTCTTTTTCCGCTGCAGGACCAGACACCATGTCTGACTATTGATCGGCTTACGGTACATGACGACAGACTAAGCACAGAACGGTCGAGGACGAGTTCACTGCCGTTGGCCATGCAGGTGACCATGAGGAGTGGCATAGGTATGGTGTGGAATGACGAAATACCCACCACACAGGCTGTGGACGACTTGTACTGCGGGTACGATTTGCCGTCTTGTGAAGAAGCCAAAGTCGACGTGGCAGTCCAGCACACTCCTACTCAACGCCAGGCAGCACGTCTAAAGTGGGAGAACGAGGGTTTCAAGGAGAGTGCGGATCAGTTGCTGAATCACGAACGTAGAACATACAGGAAGAACTCGAGAAGAAGAAGCAGACGGAGGTCTTCTTCAGGAATTCCCAAAGAGGATGACCCACTGTATAGAGAGAGTGACGGTAAGTTATTTACCTGTGCCCCTTCTCTCCTTCTCCTGATACAGGCTTTATAAGTATGCCGTGTTAGAAGATTCCTTTATGAAACTGACAGTTTCTTTGGCTTCCGTTCTGGTAATCAAGCTAACATGGGGCTGACTAAAAAAATTGCCCTATGTCCTTGGCATGGCCCTTCTCTTGAAAGTTAATGGTGATCTTTCCTCTATTCTCTACCCTCTACTCTACATACATGGATGTGGATCTAAGTAAAGGGAAGGAAAAGACCAAAAGATGGCTCAACATCCGAGTTTGGATGTGAATCTGTTCACTGTCCTTCATTCTGCAGTTTTCTCCGATGCAAGTGATGAAAGTCTGTTCAGTGCAAGTCCCAGAGCGGCCAGTCGCCAACATGCCGCCGCTGGTGCCGGAATTATTGAGATGCGTGACGGCGATGGCACTTTCAGGAGCATCGATCAAGAAAGTTTTCGCAGCCTTAGCAGAGGATCTGATGCTCCCATTGCGCACCGAGTGAACAACACGCAGCCACAGCAAGATCCGGTAAAGGTATAGGCAGCTTGAGTTGAAACTAGAAACTGATGATGGTGCACCGGCAATCGTGCCTTCTCACCTTAGTTCGATCAGTTCCGCATGCAGAAACACATTACTGGTTTGTGCATACTAGAGGGTGTCTTGATGCCGTTTGAAGTTTAGCCTGAAGAGCTAGTACTTGCCTTCTTGCATGCCCTACAGACCTTGATGCTCTAATAACAAAGTAAAGCTGCATGCCAATTTGATTCAGAGCAGAATGGATGCCAAACACAAAAATGTGTTTAACACTCCCAGCTGATTTAAATTCGTCTAAGAAAGAGACTCTTGGAGAAGCACGATTTGAGCAGCGGCATGAAAGTAGAGGCTGCAAGTTGAAACCTTGCATCTTTGTTCACAGGTTGTGCATAACGCTAAAACAGAAGGCAGGCAGGAAAGTAGTTGTTAGCATTCCCCTTCCCCTCCAAATACAATCAAATGAGTCGGGTTGGCCTGCAATCAGAGTTGGCCGTTTGAGTCTAAGAATCTAATCATGGCTCAGGCTGAGGTAGAATACCAACCTCCTAATTTCTTTCTGTTACGCAAACACCTTGGCGAATGCCCTGGCCTGAACCCACCCCATACGACCATAAGCATTGGTTTTACTCAGCTATACATATGCACGGCACCTTCTTTAGACTGTATATCTGTAAGGAGTGGTTTGAGAACCTGCTGCAGTGTCACTGAGTCGCTCAATGAAATCTGATCATGTGAGTCAAGAACGTGCCGAATGTTGTGCAGCCCTAGACGCAGCTGTGTACACTGGGATTTGGACAGGTGCAAGACTTTTGTGATCGGATTTCATCATTTTTGAGCACTGCATTGTGCATGTACTTCTTGCATTGACCCTACCGTATATTTATTGTTTATGCTCTTGCTGCACCCCACCCAGGTGCCACTAGTGTCCATGGCCGCCAAACATACCCAGGATCCATCCACTGCGTCTAGTTCCTTCACGCGCACAGTGGCCACTGTGTCGTCCGGGTTTGACCATGACACACTCAACAAGCACCATCCCGGCAAGAGGCGTAGCAAGCCTCCGTCACTGCAGACCAGGGTTTACGAGGAGGATTCCGACGAACCTCAGGAAGCATTTTGGGATAGAGATTCAGATTCAGAATGAAGAGTGATGGGAACCCGATATAAAACAGTTTTTATGCAGTCTTTGAACTTGTAGTGGTGCTTTCGCACCGGCTGGTATAGTTCAATTCAGCATTCAGTAAAACGTGTGAGCTCTACTTCTAACAAAATGAGAAAGCACACTGCAGACACAATTGTAAACTAGTGCAAGATGTGAATGATGTTCTCATGAATGGTGTGCGAAAAAATACAAATAAATAATGGTGCAGTCGCCAGTTGAGGCAGCTCAAGAAGCTGTGTGATGAGTTAAATTCTGATTCTGATTCTGAATTTCAAGAAAGGGTGAGGATCTCATTATGTTGTCATGGTTATAAAGTTACAAAAAGCCTTGAAGGTGCTTTGGTATTTCAAAACTCTGATACTGTCCTATAACGATGTTTCTTCAGCTTTTTGAGGATGAACACAGCCGAAACGCCGCCCAGCATGAAGCCAGCTAGTGCGCACAGTGTGCCAATGAGAATTTCTTTTCCTGTCGCACACAAAGAAAGCAAAATCTGCTTCATACTCCAAAGTGAACCTTTAACGCAATTCACACTTTCTGCTGGGTTCCAAGCTTATGGTATCCTCTACCGCCGACAACTTCCCACCCAATATTTCTATTCATCACATTGTACATGTAGGTGTTGTGTATGAACTGGCAAAAGGCATGATGCTGATAGCGTAACAGCACAGCCAGCCTGGAGTAATGACAATACTGAATTTAGGACCACTTGGAACCAGGTTTAGCACAGATTGACGAATGTTTCGAAAAGTGGCGGTTACGACAGGCAGAGTGAAACATCTGCTGGTAGCGACCCACTCCTGATACAGAACAATTTGCATCTCCATGCGACACCACATACTATATGGGTGGTGTGGATCCAAAGTCGTTATTTGTTTTTACTGGGGTGCCAGGGGTGTAGTAACACTTTTAGTACACCTACATAATATTATACACCTACCTGGCTGATGGTGGATAATCAGGAGTACGGGGCACACCCTACAGTACTACAGTCACTGTTGGGGTAGGGGTACTTGCTACAGTACTACTTCAGGGTGTAGACAGTACCTATACACCGACAGTACTTCAGTACTATCAGGGTAGGGTACTTGCTTTCTACTGTCTACACCCTGTTCTACAGTATTATTGTTGGGCACCCAAGAACGGCCAGGCTAGAAATTCACTAAGCACAGCATAGCAGTGTATACACGGTGACTCAACAGCGCACAGACTGGAGTAATACATGAAGATAAGAACCGGGTCTAGGCTAGGAGGCTAGGTGGCTGGCGCCCCAGTCCTTCGGCGACCAACAGTACTGTATGCTTTCTGCTGCCGTATGTACAACAGTGCTGCTGGAAACTGAAACCCGACCCCTGAGCGGTGCACTCACATTGCAGAGACTCAACACAGGATTGTAACACTACGAAATAGCGACTGCTAGAACGTGAACGCACCGGTGCGCTCAGGGGTCAGATTTCAGTTGCCAGCACTGTAGAGTAAAACCTGGTTTAAGCGACCACGCCACAGTGCAAGGAAAAGCGGTCGTTAAAGCCAGGTGGTCTTTAGAACCAGGTCCCACAGTGTCTGTGTAGAACTGTCGGTGCATGGAAAAACGGTCGTTAAGAGCAGGTGATCACTAAAACGAGAGGTCGCTTACACCAGGTTTTACTGTACTTGATCGTGACTGATCTGCTGCAGCAATACACAGTTGAGCACATGGTCATGTAGCACACAGTACCTGTTTGTGATATGCCACCATTGCTTGGTCGAGGAGAGACGCTGGCAGGACATGTTGTGGGTCTGGTGGAGGTTTCTGGTGCTGCATGAATGACAAAGCAAGAAAGAAAACACAGCCGATTGATTTTGCAAACAGTTCCATGAACCATTTCCTCTTCTGTTGTGACGCTGAGCTTTGCCTGGGTTGCTTTAGCACCGTCACGATGAACTGAGTGTGTATACGTATGTTGTACACAGGTGTGTATGTGTGTACGTGTGTACATGTGTGCATGTGCTGGCGGGTATCGGATGGGTAGCTATGACTTACATGGACGTGAGCTGGGGTGATCTATGTTTTGGATCAGGGTAGTATTGTCCATCATCTGACCAGACACTGCATCGAAGAACTTCAGAACTGCCATGGTTGACGATGCAGTTTCAAACGTGACAAATCCATGATAGCCAGTCAAATTGAAGGCTATCCACGATGGTGTTGAGAACTACAGTTGTCCAAACAGTACAACACAACGCCAGCATCGCAATTATTTCACATTCATGACTCGGTGA